CGACAGACCTTGTGCAGGTTTTACTGCCTTTGGTGGCACGACTGCCCTTCTGGTGCTGGCCGACCACCCTGGCCCTCTGAACCATACCCTGTTTGCTTACTGAATCTGTGATTGTCTTAAATGACTGGTAGGGTTTCCCCCCCTTTCGTTTCCCTTAAAAAAAAAAATGATCGGTCTCTCAGATTAATTTATGAATTCCTGCTAAAATCAGATGGCTAGATGGATATGTTTCTCATTCTTTGTGGTCTTAGATGACAAAGGTCACGTTAAAAACTTAATACCCAATTGGCCACCCTGACTTGGCTGCTTTTGGGGGGTACCAGTAACATCTGTTCATCATGAACTGAATTTTTCTTCATTTTGTATTGCTGGAGATTTCCATCACGTTACAGCTGAATGGTAACATATCTTTGGGGCAGATTTTTAACAACAGGTCTTCTCCTTTGTTGCCATTTCTGTCTGTCTTATCTTGCTCCTAGACCTGCTTGCTCTTGTTTTGGTTTGTTGCCTGATGCCTCATCGAGCTTTGTTTTTGGTCTGTTCACAGGAAACAGGATGATACAGAAACATTAACTGACCTCAGATAATCAGTATAATGTAGCTCATTAGTCATCTTGAGTGCAAGCCACTTTTTCCTTATGATTTTGGCTTTAAATGTCAATGTTGTATTCATTTTTAAACTGTTAAAGCTAGATTGGTCAGCGTACCTGTGGAAAAGATCGGAAAACTAGCCTTAAAGTGTTAAAGGCATGATATTGAGTCCTGTGGAGTAGATTCTTTTATCTCAAGATCAAAAATAAAAAAATCAATCCAAAAGATTACTGCCTTTTATGTTGAGAGATCTGAAAAACAGATGCTTAAATACACTTTTTATCCTACTGAACTACATATACAGTTTAAATTTGATTTTTAACACGTAGCATCCAGGAGAATTTGTATCTCATAATTTCAGTCTGTTCTCAGGCAAATCAGAATTTATTTTTATTGCCAGTTCTCATCGGTGCTTGAACTTTAAAAATCCACTTAAAAGCAAAGTTTACAAACAGGTACTTTTCTTTCCTAACTTGGGCAATTATTTTTAACCATTTTCACCTTCAAGTGGCATGTTCTTCCCCATTTCACATAACACTGGGAGGTTTTTTTCACCTTGTTCTCTTTTTACACTTCCTAGTTAATATTTCACAGCAGCCCATTTAAGGATGTCCCTCAGAGATTGAACAGCTTCTATGGAGTAATCAGGGAAGTGTTCATTTGATTTTACTGCTGAGGATTTTATGTATTGATCAACTGTTGGCTTGTAGAAATGCCGACGATAGTTTTCATTAATATCTCACAGTATTTGGGATTCTGAGGTGATGAGAGTTACCACCTGAGGAACTGGGGTTTTCGGAAAAGGGTTTGTTCCTCACCATTAATCATTTAGTGGCGAATTGGTCTAATATATGAAAGACTGAAAGAAGCAGTACCCTAGAACGTCCTGTACCTACTGTGCTTTTTGGAATATAAAGCATTATTTGTTAACACCCTGGAGAACGGTTAGCAGCTTGGAAATTGTGTAGGACTCTGATCATTTTGCCTTTTTTCCCCTCTTCGGGGCAATGGTGAGAAAAGAACTGGGGTTGGGGTTTATTTTTGCTTCAATAAAGAGTAATGGGGTTGGCTTTAAAGGGGGGAAATTCTTAGCCCGCGTGTGCTTGTACGCATCATCCAGCATCCGTCACTGTATCTGTTCTTGGAAGTAACTGGTCTAAGTTGATACTGAAAGAAATCTTTTTGTTTCTAATCTCTTTAGCAGGGGGAGCAATCTCAGAACTGTTATGAAGACCCTGGAAGTTCTTCGTTCTTCCCTCCTTTGCCATCATGTGGCCTCTGGACACTGTGGTCAGTCATTTGAGATTGACTTTAATTTAAAACAAAGGCCTCTGTCTTCCACCCAGGAGGTGGAAGGAGTGAATTTTATGTTTGAATGAAGAAGTGAATTATGGAAGAAGAGTATACGTCCCTTCCCTTTCAAGCATAAGTCCAAATAGGCTCTCAGGAATGAGGATTTGTGAAGACATCAAACAGGAGTTTTGACTCATTTAAACTTTGATGCTTGTTCGTGTTGCTGGAGAAGAGATTCCTGTTCTGCTTGTCTGTCTTTGCTGCGCCCAGCATCATTTCGGCCTGTCATTTCCGGTCTCCCACTGGCCTGCCCTCCTCAGTGCATGTCCTTGAGTGACCTGTTCTTATCTGAAATTTTGCTGCCTGTAACCTAGAAAAACTTCTGTTGCACATTCTTCCTTCCGTTTTTAAACTCACCCTCTCACCAGATACCTCCTGTGTTTCTATATTGTGTCACAAAGGATGGGCAAAAAAGAAAGTGCTTGAAGAATTTCAGATTTTTCTGAAACGTAAGAAAGATAAGAAAGGCCCCCCTCTCTTTAACATACTGTAGCATTTTGCTCAAGAAGCTGGGCTGTAAGAGGGTCGGGTTTTTCTCTATTTTCTTTTCATCACGTTTCCCTCCAGGATTGGTTCACTCTCATTAAGCATGACTTTTGAAGACAGCTGGTTGCATTGTCTCCAGCAAAGAATCATCAGCAGTTTATGCTGCTTTACCTGTACTGGCTTCCAGCGATGGAACCAGACCAAGGTGTCTCTCAGCAGGCTTCTTTTTTATTGGGGTGGGGGAAATCTATGCAAGGACTAAAATAAAACCGTCTAGAATCAAAGCGGCAACAACACAGTTCAAATCAAAAATCAAGAAAACTTCTTTTTTTATCATTGCTCGTGGATCTCTGTGTTTCTCATCAGTCATCGCATTTCCCCTCCTGTATCCACGATCCTTTCCCTTCCTCCGTGTTTCCAGTCACTTCCTTTCTGTGAAAGGTTGCTTAGCTTTTAAAAAAAATTTTTTTTTTAATTTTTACTTGTTGCTTTTGCTGTTCTTTATATAAAAAGTAGGAGATTGGATGGATGTGTACATTAGGTGTTTGAAATTCTCTGAAGATCCAGAGTGAAGAAGCCAGGTGTGGAGAGGGCTCACCAGGCTCTCTGAGTGGAGCTCTTAGCTGGCTGGGAGTGCTGAATCAGGATCATTTTCACAGTATCTTCAAAGGAGAGTTAAGCACTGTGCTTACTGGGAAGTCTCTGTCAGTTGCTGGCTGCTCCTGTAGGTAGCCAGACAGGTCGCCTACCTTTTGGATTTTAGCATAGAAATCAAAGTAGAACATGTCAGCAAGGGCCTCTTCCATTCCCTCTTTAGAACCAAAACGTTCAGTAGTTAAAGTAAGAACTCTTCCTGGGTCAGTGGCAAATGTCTATATTTTTAGATGCCACGCCTTCTCAGATGCTCATTTTGTGAATTTCATTTCCGCTTTTCGGATCAGACCAGGGGTTGAGATTAGTAGGTGGGTCACTGGACATGTTTTTTGTTTTGCAGACATGACATTTCCATTTCGTTTCTGTACTTTACACGGCAATAGTATGCAAACTGTGTAATAAAGAGTTTCTGCCTTATTTCCCCGTGCAAAGTAGCTGGGTGTCCTCTGCCTATGCATTTGGATGTTCATGCTCTGTCTGCCTCCTAAACTGGCTACTGAGAAGATATTCAGCCCAGTCAGAGTGTCTCTGGCAGCGGCTCCTAATAATTATTTATATTTTTGGAATTTTTTTCAGCTCCTAAAACCTTCTGTCCAGTTCAGTTTGCTTTTCTCAGTTTGTACAATATACGCATATCCTCTTCTTGCCTGTTGTCTCCCCCCCACCACCACCACCGTTTTGTTTTTTAATGTTCTGTAGTTTTGTACGAGATGAGACTTAGCCTTGGATACTTCTTGCTGAAGCTTTAATGCTTTGTAAATAAAATTCGATGTTTATTAAGGAACAGGTGTAGGTGTGTGTTTGTGGACACGGATCACTTCTGAAATTCACCAGCCACTTCGCTTTGTATGACGTAAAATGCAGCTTCTTTTTTGATGTTAGATCTTCCCTGTGGAAATACAGAGCTGGGAGGGGTGAGGGGTGGTCAGGTAGTCCAGATGTCTGCCTCTAGACAAGATGATAAATAAACAATTCAAGCAAAAAGTGTTAAATCAAACATCATCTGGGAATGACCTCTTCAAATTCCTTATCTCCCTTGTAACTCACTTGTAAGTGTATGTAACTGCTCTGTAGAGGCCCCAGGGCTAGGAGATATTCTGGAGCTTACAAAAATGAATGCAAGGAGGTTCCAGCCTTCCAAGGATCTTTCTTAAAGTGTAAGTATGGTTGCATTTCTCTGTATTAGTCCTTTTCCCTCTAGATTAAATAGCTTTGAAATCTGTTGAATATTCATTGTCTCCTGGAGAGTAAGATGTTTCATAAAGTCTGTTTAAGTCTTTGATTTTAATCATTGCTAAATCTGAATGTCTCCTTACTAACCTTTTCTCAGTTTTGTGACTGAGAAGCTTTTTGACGTCATAGCTGTTTCATAGCAACCTTGACCCAAGTGAATGATGAGCTGCTTCTCCTGTTCTGCGGGGTGAAGGGACTGGGCTGGGAGGCAGAGAGAATTATGTGTCCTCTCCCCCAGAATATATGTTCGGTACCCTTGGGAAGGAAGACTGCCTAGAGGTGGGAGTGGAGCTGCCTGTCTTGCTGCTGAGCATTCAGGTTCTAACAGGCTTGTTGGCCCTTGTCTTCATGAATTTTCATTTCTGTTTAAAATTCCTTACACGTGAACAGTGCTTCACACTGTACAAAGTGTTTCCATGTACAGTTTATCATTTGATGCTCAAAGTGACCTTCCTGAAATAGGCAAGGGGGCCTTAATTTGCAAAGGAGGAAATAGAAATTCAGGAAGGGTAAGTCACTTGCCTCTCAGTTCAGCATTCTTAATCCTTTTTGTAGAAGTTTTAAGAGCATTTAAAGTAAATAATAATTCAAGTTAATCCCCTCTTTTTTTTATATATATACTTGGTCTTTGATTTCTTATTTGGTCGGATTTAACTGACATTTTGAAACCTTTGAATTCCGATCCCAGAATCTGGAGGGGAAGGGAAAGGGTGAGGAAGAGCAGAGCTTCACTATGCATTCGAGGTAATGTGTAAATTCACTTCAGCTTTTGAAGTCTTTTCATCTTTGTCTTCCCAAGAAGTGGACCTAAATTCATTAAAAGGATGTGAGAAGAATGAAGACCGGTAAGGGGGTCATTAACAAGCAGAGAGAGGAAAGCAGCAACGTTGTGACTTCTCTTTCTGCCTCATGGCCTCACCTGTTACTAAGGACTAGACTTGTCTTAAGTTATATTTATTGACAATGCACGCATCGTATCTTTTGACTTTGAGGGCTGTCTCATGTCGAAGGAGTTAAGTTATGTCATAGAGGATGAAGCTGGAATACCTTGGGTGTTGACTGAGGGTGGTGAAATGCCTGCTAAGACATGAAGACATTGGCCACAAGTTTCGTCCTTGGGAGCCTGGTGTTGGCTTTCCTTCTGCCTTTGGTGGTAGCTTTACCTAAAACACTGGCCATCCCCGAGAAACTGCAAGAAGCCGTGGGGAGAGTCATTGTCAACACCACAACCTGCTCTGTCACCTGTGGCCTTGGCTATAAGGAGGAGACCGCCTGTGAGGTGGGCCCTGATGGCGTGAGAAGGAAGTGTAAGTCTCAGCGCTTGGAGTGTCTGACCAACTGGATCTGTGGAATGCTCCACTTCACCATCCTCACAGGGAAGGAGTTTAAGCTGAGCTGTCTGAGCTCAGACATCCTGGAGGTTGGGCAGGAAGCTTTCCGATTCACCTGGAAACTTGCTCGGGGTATCATTTCAACTGATGACGAAGTCTTCAAACCCTTCCGAGCCAGTTCCTACTTTATAAAGTTTCGGTCCCCTCAGGAGTACGACTCTGGGACCTACCGGTGTGATGTGCAGCTGTTAAAAAACTTGAGACTTGTCAAGAGGCTCTATTTTGGGCTGAGGGTCCTTCCCCGTAACTTGGTGAACCTGAATTTCCATCAGTCCCTCACTGAGGATCAGAAGTTAGTAGATGAGGGCCTGGAAGTGAATCTGGACAACGATACCCAGCCTCAGCGCCCACCGTGGAAAAAGAAGGTGGCGGTAGCCTTGGGAGTAGGAATTGCCAGTGGCGTGACTGGCGGCGTGTTGGTGATCGTCGCACTGTGCAGCGGGCTGAGGGTGATTAACAGCAGTGCCAGCCTGAAGACCTTATACACCTTGCTCCCGAAGGGCTGGCTGCTCAGGAAGCCAAACTAGCTTTCCCGGGAGTGTTTTGGCCGCCTGACTGCGCGTTAGCTAAGAGGGAGGGCTTCCGCTACCCAAGGAGTGAGTAGGGGATGCACAGAGGGGCCACATCATGGTAGTAGCTATGGGCAGTAGTCTCTGTCTTTATGTCCCAGGTGGGTCTCTCCAGATCTTCCCTGTGCGCTAGGCACCCAGGAAACCTGACTGCAGGCATCTCCCTGCTCCGGGAAGAGCTCTGTCTTCCGAGTTTGCATTCGTTGTCGACCCTTTACAACTTGCATGCGTCCCTGCCTTGATTTCCCTTCTCAGCAGTAAAATCATGTAGAAGGATATAGCTTTTCTAGTGAAAACATACTTTTTCTTCTTCAATAAAAATAATTCACAGCTGTATAGAGAGCTAACCTTTTCTGCTCTGTAGTTTAAAATTTCTTGTATTTGTTTAAGTTGTCGCATAATCAGTCTGGTTTTAGGATAAACTCACACCAGAGTTTTTGTAATAGACATTGAACGAATTGCTTTGTAGGGGGCATATGCCCATTTGTGGCAGAGTTGAGGTTGCTGGTAATGACATCTGACTCAGGTATGTAGGAGACAGTAAATGTTAATGAATTATGTGCCCCTCCCACCCCCCGCCGCCACCCCTTATCCCTCCCAGGTGAAGCCTCTGTGCTCACAAATTGAATTCCTGGCAAAACACTGGATTCTTCATCTGGTAGGTTTCCCCGGAGCAGTTCCTTGGCTTGCTCCCCGCCCCTGTCCTTCTAGCTCTTTCAGTGCCCTGAAGCTTACGTTGCTGGAAAGGTCAAGTGTATTGGTTTCTTACAGCAGCCAAGGCCCCCTAAGGGAGAACTCGTACCTTCCTTCCTCAACAGGAAATCCAATCGTAAGACCCTCAGAGGCCATTCAGACTGTGTCTGAGATAATTGACTTGGCTTGTGGAAGCATCCGGGAAACCTCTCTTGGGCCACCAGCTGAGCTAATTCTATTGAGAGATTTATGTTTCTTTCTCTCACTTTTCTCTCGCTACAGAGGAGGTAGCAGAAATAAGACTTGCACCACTGGTTGCCTTCTCTGGCTGTGTCTGAATCACCCAGGTGAGCTTTTGAAAAATAAGATCCTTGAGCCCCAACCCTGAGGATGTTAATTCAGTTTAAATTATAGCCAGTCAATCTCTCTTATTTCTTTTACTGTAAATTTTTTTTGTTGAGGGGAGTTTTTAAAATTTATTTATTTATTTATTTATTTATTTATTTATTTATTTATTTATTTATTTATTTATTTATTTTAATGGAGGGACTGGGAATTGAACCCAGGACCTCATGCATGCTAAGCATACGGTCTACCACTGAGCTATATGCCCTTCCCCTAAATTAAAAAAAAAAGTTCAAACCCATAGAAAAGTTGAAAGGTTTGTTGACACCCATAGACCCTTTAACTAAATCGACCAGTTGCAAAAGTTCTGCTACAATTATCTTCCTCTTGAAATAAACACTGACTTTACATGAACCACTTGAAAGCTAGTCATAGACGTTGTGACCTTTTACTCCTAAATCAGGTATGTGTCTCCTGATAAGGACCTTCACCTGTATAACTGCAATGACCTCATCACACTAAGAAAATTAACAGTTCCCTAATCTTAGGTATAATCGGTATTTCGTTTCTCCCGACTTCTAAAAATCTTAAAGCTTTTGGGGGAGGTGGGTATAGCTCAGTGATAGAGTACATGCTTTGCATGCATGACGTCCTGGGTTCAGTCCTGGGTTATTTTGTTAAAGTAAATAAAGGAATAAAATCTTAGAGCTTTTAAACTTAATTTTTGATCCAGGATCAAATGAAGGTTCGCATGTTACATTTGTTTATTTCTCTTAAGTCCTATTTTATAACAGATCCCCTGCATTATTTTTTATGACATTTTATTGAAGAGTCTAGCTAGACCATTTGTCTTGCACAGTGTCCCACAGTTAGTTCCTCGTGATCTGATTCCTGAGGAATGAACCTTAGAAATATTTGACAAGAGCCCCACGTAAATGACCTTGTGAACTTGCCGCATCACCTCAAGAGGCACCTGATGTCAGGGTGGCCCATTACTGATGTTAAAAGCTTGATCATTTGGTTAAGGTGGTGACTGGCAGATCTGTCCAGTGATGTTCCTGTGTGTTTTCCTTTTGTAATTAATCTGTGGGGTGGGTGATGCTTTGTGATTATCTGGTTTTCTCAAGAACACTTACAAGCATTTTAGAATGCACTCATGATCTTTGCCTTATTATTACATGTTGGCGATTGCAAAAGGATGGAGTCTTTAAATTCATCATTTGCTCTATTAGCCTTCATTTTTCTGTAAAGCACTATTCTTTTTTATTTATTTTTGAGGTTTCAGTGGATTCTTCTTTATTCAGTGAATTATATATAATTATTGTTGTCATATTTTTGATGTTCAAATTGTTCAGATTGTGGCCCAGGAGTCCCTGCAGGCCAGCTCTTTGTCCTTTTGGTTTGGTCCCATTTGACTCTGAGCATGTCCTTGCTATATAGCAAGATGCTTCAGATGCACATTTGAACCTTTCTCCAAACCTGAATCTCCCAGGGAGATTCTCAAAGGGACTGTGTGTCTTCAAGGAACTCTGGTTCCTTTTAGTGTAGGGAGTGGCATTTAGAAACCGAGGTCTGGGTGCTGGATGTGCTCATTGCCTCTGGGGCGTCAGTGCTTCTGAGCCTGCTGAGTGTCCTAGGTGTATTTAAATCATGAGTTCACAAGCATCTTTGTTTTTAGAAGTTTTATAGATAATTCTGATATATAGTGAAGGTTGAGAACCACTGACCTAGACTCATGTTTAGGGAGTCTTTAACTATTGCTCTTATTTTGAAAAGATCTTAAATTTTCCATACACCCTTTCACTCATTCTCTCTACCTCACGTGGGATGTTGTTCAGACGATCTGGGCTCTGGTCCTGTTCCTGCTATTGACTGTAACGGAGCAAGCTGACATTCTGTAGTCCTTATCTTTGAAATGCGCGATTGTGGGAACTAAATGAGGTCTGTGAGTCACGCTGCTCTGTAAGCTGTGAAGGACCAGGTGTGAGTTGGGGAAAGTCACTGATGAAGCGCGTTATTTCAGGCCTGGACAACTTGCTGCAGCAGTCAGGGGACAGCTTGCTCTGTCTTGAAAGAAGACTGTAAAACGTTGATATCTTTGTATATAATGAACTCAGTATTACATTGCTGAGGAGGGAGATGGATGGAGGGGTACAGTGTTTCCCATTTTTCAGATGGAGAGACTGAGACCCAAGAAGAACTAAATAACTTGTCCAGCATTCTGCTGCAAGCCAGTCATCGAGCATGGGATGGAATAGTGCACAGGTCTAGGTTTACAGCCCTCTGTGCTTGCGTTCTTGAATTTTGACTCTGAAGATGCAAGGGGAATCAAACAGGGAAGAGAACAGACACCCTCAGATGTGTTCGTGAAGACCAAAACCCAATTTGGTTCTTTGAATTCTGCGCATGCGATCTGCCTCTAGAGGGTCAAGGAGATGCGGCCTGGAGTAGAATCTGAGCTGCGGAGTGGTCGGTGCTCCCAGCAGCTCTTTGGGTGCTAAGTAGGAGGGATGAGGCGATGTGGGGGCTGGCTGTCACCCCGGGCTTCTAAACAGACCCTGGGCACACAACTAAGCGCCACGCAGAGGGATCGCTGCTCGCCCTGGCTTCGCTTGCCCTCTTCCCTGAAAAAGGCCGTCGGGCTCAGTCAGCACGGAGCCCTACCTGCTTTGCACCGAGAGAACTGAACACTTAACAGCACTGCATGCGTGTTATCACTGTGAGCATCTCAGGTGTAACAGAAGTCGTGATAAATGTTTATCGAATGCATGAGTGTTGCAGCTAGAAAATGTGACTAGAAATTCAAATTCTTTTGGCTGCTGTGAGCAGAGACTGGAGGCACTTCCCACCAGGTAGGAGTCACTATGTCTGCAGGGAGAAGACTTCCCCTTGATACTGCTGGGTCAACACAGGTATCCCCTGCTTTTCGTAAGTTCGATACTTTGCTTTTCCGAGAAACTTGAATTAGCGCCTGTCTCCACTAACTGAAAGAAATCTGAAGAGAATGTTTGATTTTATGGAAAAAGTTAATTGCTTCTTTGCTTTACACCATTTCAGCTTACAAAAGATTTCATAGGAACGGTCTACTTTCAAGGTAGCCGGGGAAACCTGTGCCCCAAATGTCTTAAAAATCAGGGAAGCTTGAGGCAGTGCCACCACACGGGCACCGTCCACTGCCCATCGTGGTAGGTGAAGCCGGCCGGGCTCACAGGATGGCTGCCGTGCTCTGCCGAGGCCAGCCTTAGAGTCGCTTGGCCTAATTATTCCCCCCTCCCAGGGCTGCATGAAGCAATATAGACCGTGCGCTGGGACTCCCTTGTGAAGGGTGAAGATACTGGATAAAAGCCTAAGATTGGAGAACAGGATGAGGAGATATGCTTTCGTCTGAGGATAAACACACCAACAGCTGGTGCCAGCTGCCTCGGCAGGTTGAGAAACCGTCTTTATTTAAGAACTGCCCGCTACCAGAGTCAATAAATAACTACCATTACAAGAAGTATACGAGAGACAATAGGCCAACGGGAGCGGGTCTGTTGTAACAAAAACTGAGTTATGTCAGTGGTCCAGCGAAGCCTTACCCTTGCCCCACCGGGAACTTCACTAAGCTATGCAGGCCCTGGAGGGGGTGGGTCAGGTGGAGTCTGGGGGCCAAGGCAGGTGCACCCCACCTGAGGCCACGAGGCTTCCTAGGGCTCTGGGAAAGGCCATCCAACCCCTTTTTTTCCTCTCCAGTTTCCCTTTATTGTCCTGCCCTCCCAAAGCCTATGAGTGTATACGTATATATACATACAGCTACCAGGCACCTCTTTCCATGGAGCTCTTTGAGGCCTCTTAAAAATGCCCATCTCACCCCGCGTGCCACTCCAGGAGCCTCTCTGGCAGCCTTGCTCATCTCCAGGACGAAGCCCAGGTTAGGTGCTGAGCCAGGGAGACAGGGCACCACACCTGTGCCTCAAACCCAGGTGTGAGGCTACTGCTGTCCTTCCCATGCAGAGGGCCCAGCTGGCTATCACATTCTGAGACCAGGAAGAGCAAAGAGAGTCCTCCAGCTGGGGAAGAGATGAAGAGAGTAGAAAATTCTCAGAGCCAGCTCGGTCTCTTGTCCAGGGTAGACTGGATGGGCTCCTGGAAGTGCCAAGAGGCAGAAAAGAATCCTTGGGGTGAGCCTTCCCCTTAAGGGACTGTGTGACTGCAGTCGCCGCCCCACGCTGCAGGGGCCACAGCGGACGGGAGCTCCAAGACTCTACCTGTGCTGAACGCCTTCTGATTCCACGAATCTCAGTGTCTCACTGTAAGTGTCCCTAGCCTAGACCTCAGACCAACAGCTATGAAAGTTCCTCAAAGTTCCCTTGAAAGGAAGAATCCCCTAAATACTCATTCCAGGGTCTCCTTGCAGAGACACCCACCCTCGATCTCTCCTGTCATTTCATCAAAAGAAAAAGAACTCTCCATTTCCATGGCCCTCCTGTTTCCTGGCACCCCCTGTATCATTTGATGCCCTGAATGAAAGTAGGTAACCTGACCTTGCTGGGCCCTGAGAGCTGCCCTCCCCCTGGGGGTGAGGTATACATTGACACTGAGAGCGACGAGGACCGAGTAGCCAGGGGCAGACGGCCCAGCACACGCAGACAGGAGAGACCGTCTCCTGGGCCCTGAAATGCTGTCTGCAGGCCGTCTCTGTCCCTGGACCTCAGGCACTTACTGGCCACTAAGCCGTGGCGTGAAGCACTTGTTTGTGGCTATTTCCTCTTGGTTGCCTCGTCTGGGGCTTGGTGTGTGGGAGAGGAGAGATCCAGAGTCGAGTCGTGACCCCAGCAGGAGCCAGCCTCAGCCCAGGCGAGCAGAGAAGGTGAAAATCAGAGGCCTGCTGGGCAGGAAGGGATTCTGAGAAGCTGTCTAACCTCGTCCTCTGCCTCCACGCGAACGCCTGTAGACCCACCTCAACGAGAGGCTGTTCCATTTTATGTGCCTGCACGTCCTCAAGTTACCTGCTGTCCTATTAAATCTTAATCTGTACTCTACCTGAAGTCTCAGGCGGCAGGAACATCCCTTTTCGTACAGTTCTGTGTCTCCCAAAATAGCTCTGCCCGCACAGTGCTTAGGTTTTCCTGAGGCTGAGTTTTCCTAGTTAAAAACCCTTCCTGGGTTTCCCAGAGGGAGTGTCTGCCTCCTTAGAACTAAGACTCTTGGTCATTGTATCTCCTGCTTCAAGCAAGCTTAGGGACTGCGGCCTCCAGCCGCCCTGGTGACGTCCTGTGCCAAACCAGCTCCTCTGTCTTGGCCCAGCGTCTAGACACCTGTCTCTTTGCTTCCCCCACGGCAGCCCAAGGCAGCAAGGAAAGAACCAGCTAAACCTAGGGGGCAGGTTTCCTCCTCTCAGCATCCTCTTTCTGATAGAGCTGGTTCAGGCCAAATCACAGCCACGGGGGAACAGGTGGACGCTGGGCCGAGTCTGGGGTCCCTGTCATGGGAGAATGGTCCCTTCGCTGAGCCCCCAGCACCTTGCATGGGGGGTGAAGGGCGGGAGCAGGTGAGGCGGGTTTGATCAGATGGCTCCAGGGAGGCAGTCCTGGGCCAGGGGCTGGCTGGTGGGTACAGTGGTGGCGGGGAGAAGGGGTGTGAGCTTACGTTTTTAAAAAATTGCAGTGGGTGAACGTCAACATAAACCTGCCCAGGAAAACAGAGCAGGACTTAAAAATTTAAAAACCATAACAAAATAGAGCTCTAACTGTAAACGACAGAAACCAGGCTCCGAGGGCCTGTCCCCTCTAAGACGCCTGGCCCGCTGCTCCTGCCTGTGAAGGGCCACCTGTCACAACATCGGCTTTGGGATTTCCTGGTTGTGCCGCCTCTGCCGCCTGGATTTGGGGAATCCTCGTCCTGGCTTTGGCCTCTTTTCTTGGAGCAAGGGTAAGGGGAGCGGGGGGCTTCAAGCCAGCACTGCACATTGGGGTCCCCACAGAAGCTGGGCTTGGAAGGCAAAGCAAGACTGGGGCTCCTGCAGTCTGTCTGCGCCTTGGGCTGGGACCCAGCCGTGCCCATCACCCCACCGTCACCCACCTGAGCCTTTGAAGCAGAATTTTCATAGCCCACTTTTTAAACCGGGTTGTAGCCATTCAGCACTGTCCCCTTCCTCTGGACAAAGAGCCTGGAACAGGAAGGTGGGAGAGGAGCGCTAGCCCAGACTGTCACTGACAGGCTGTGTGACTGAGGGAGGCCCAGCCCCTTCCAGCCTCCGCTTGTCATCTGGGAGGGAGGGGCTTGGGCAAGTTGAGGTCCAAAGCCTCTTCCAGCTCTGACGTGCTGTGACTGGTCATACACCCAGAGCGCAAGCTGGATGTCCCATTTATTTACCCCTTTGTCTTCTGGGGAAATGCAAAAGAGCAGTCCAAGGCAGCCTACAGGGGGTCGCCAGCTGGGGTCGCCAGGTGGCCCAGGGTACTCCTGGAAGCAGGCAGGGCCGCATTTATCCTCTGCCCTTCTCAGAAGGCTCCTGCCTCCGGGACACACAGAGTGAACGCTGCCTTCTGCTGGAGGAGGGCGGTGGGTGCATGAGCCCTGCCTCCTGCTCGCACCCTGGAGGGACTGTGCAGGAGGGGTCTTGATGTGGCAAGGGACCTCCTCAAGACAAGCCCTTGTGTCACCCAGCCACCTGAAGTGGCTTCTGTCACTCTGGGGTGACAGGGTCGGGTTGGCAGTGTTGGCTAAGAGGCCCATGTCTCTGGATTGTGCCCCTTTCCACCAGCTGTCCCAGCCTCTGAACCCTTCTAAGCTTGCACCCTGGCAGTCTGGGGTGTCACCCCCAAGAGCTGCAGGGCTCGGGCTCTGGGCCCCAGACACCAGGGCAATAGTTCTCAGCCACTGCGGCTGGTGGAGGGGCCTCCAGGGAGCCATTGAGGACAATGTCGGGGTTCAGCCATGCTGCCCTTCCAGAGGAGAAAGTAGGAGAGCCCCTGGTCGCAAGGTCTGGCCCTCTCCTCAGCCTGAGGGGTGCCGCTGTTGATACTCTGTCCCACTTCAGCCCATCCATGTCCAGCATTTCCACCGGGCTGAGGACTCTGCTCTCGGGGACAGTCCATTCGCGGCCCCCAGAGTGCCATGGCCACTGATGTGCAGATGGATGCTTAAAACCCCCTTCTTCCTGTAGACCGTCCTTCCATCCAGGCACCCAAGAAGGCCCAGGCATAGGGTTCAGTGTCATCATGGAAGTTACTGCCTGGTACCTCTTGTTTCAAAGAAAAAAAAATCCTCGCATGGGTTTTCTGTCTTGTGGCAGAATATGAAATATCCTACCTCCTATGAAAAGGGCACTGCTTAAAGTCGGCATTGAAATCCAGCCATTTTCGGGCACAGTGTTGGGCCACCTTGGCATCGGGAAGGGACTGGGGCCAGCTGGCTGTGTCCATTGGAGGTGGGTGTCCAGCTGTGGTGGAGAGGGAAGGGTGCTGAGATCAGAGCTCCAGGTAGCCTATGAGGATCAGCGTGGCCATGGAGTGGGAGAGGACGGTGCCGGGATGTGGGGCTGGACAGACTGCCGAGTTCTCCACCATCATGCTTGTGCCTGAAACCAGCAGACGGAAATGGGCTGAGCCAGCTGGGCCTGCGACCAGCCTGTCCCTGCCCGACCCTCGGGACAGAATCCAGACCTTTCCTAAGGAGACTCACAGAGGGCTGGCTTCAGGACTGGGAGGTGTTCTCAGCCCTTCTACAAGAGGGTTTTGTAGGACCTTTGATTTAGCGAGAAAGGAGCGCACTCATCTCCCAGCCCTCAGGGCTATTTGTGTGCAGGAAGGAGCGGGTGGCAAGGGCATTTCCAGGGCTACTCTGCACTTGGTTCCTGCCTGCCATCTCCTTTCCCCTTGGGGACTGGCTGGGGTGGGGTCTGGCTGGGGTGGGGATGATTCCTACATCAGGCATCTGGAGGCACACGGATACTCCTGGGGGATGTGGGGAGAGACGGCACCTCCATTCCGCACGATGTGGACTTCTGCTGGGACCCCGTCCCCTCCAGGTCCTGTGGTCCGAATCTGCACCAGGGCATGGCCAATGTCTTCGGGAACTGCAATTTCTATCCAGTTCTTGCTGGTGAGGTGCAGCGTGGGAGTCGGGTGTAAGTCGTTCTGGTACAGCATCTGTGGGAAGGAGGTTAGCCAGGTGCAGTTTCCTCACACCCGGAATGATTCTTCTCTCTTCCTCGGCTCCAGGCACTGGGAGGGGCCCACATGGTTCTGGGCCCTCAAGGTCCTGCCCCCTCACCCCTCCTGTTTCCTGTTGACCAGGACCAGGGTCTTGAACAACTCCTCAGTGCGGGGAGAAAAGCTTGCAAGCAGCAGGACTAGCTTTGCGGACTCCTTAGGCTAGAAGGACGCCCAGACTTCATCCAGCCCATCACCCCCCGCCCCGAACCCTGCCTTTCCACAGTCATATCATTTTCTTCTCATCTCTCCTACATGCTCCCTGGAGAACCACTCATGTATTTCATGCCTCTCAAATCCCAAACTCTTTGATTGCATCTAACTCAGATCCTTCCTGCTAGAAACTGCAGCTCCCTTGTGTTTGCTGGAAATACAAATTCAATGCCTGGTTGACCCCTTCCTTACCTTATAACCTGTGACTGCAGACTCATTTCGGAAAGGGACCACCGGGTCCCACTTAATACTAAGACTGGAGCTCGAGAAAGTCCAGGAGATGTTGCCAGGGGGTCGCCGTGGAGCTGCCAGAGGAGGGAGAGAGTTGGGGAAATCTCCTAACGTTCCCCCACCACTTACCCCCTTGCTTTTAGCCAGGCTTTTTCTAGATGTCTGCCCACAACAGTTGCACCCAGAACATTCTGTCACTGCTGCCTGAGAAACAAACTCCCTGAAAATCCAAAGGTTGGAGAACAGAGAGGCACTTCAGAGGCCATGAATTCCACTCCCTTATCATCCTTAGACTTACTGCCTTGCTTCTGTCCAGCCCAGGGTTTATCGGCTGAAGCATTTGTCTTTCGTTGGGGAAGGAGTGATCCCAGAGGCACCCCCTCTCCCAGATATACCCTCCAGCACCCCTCGAGGCCGGAGGACTCACGGGGCTTCATGGTTGTGGCATTGGCCGAAGGGCTGGCAGGCCCAGTGCCGGCCCGGTTGTAGGCCCGCACAGTCACGTGGTACTTGGTGTTGGGGTGCAGGCCAGTGACTAGGGCACTGGTGTCCAGCCCTGCTGTCCTCACTCGGTCAGCGGCTGCTTCTTTGTCCCCGGCTCTCCAGTAGCGGATCTGAAGGAGGCAGGGGTACCCAGGGTCAGCAGTCAAGCCCAGGACCGTGGGGCTGCCCTGACCCTGGCTCTGGACACCTACATTCTGCCCCTCTCTGGTCCTTGTAACTCAGTCTCAGGTCTCAGAACCTCGACACTGGATCCTGAGTGACAAGGGAGCAGGGGCAAGTTGGTCTGAGTTGCTGCCTTCTTGGTGCCCGGCAGTGCCCAGTCCAAGGAAAGAGCTTAATATGTGGGCTGAATGAGGGAGCGGGTGGGAGGGTGGGTGATGAGTGGGGAATGCTCACAGACTCAACCTAGCAATGGCCTGATGAAACCCAACCCCGTTTAATTAACTCAGGGGATCCCATGGGGACTCTGTTAAGGACTATGAGACGCACATTTGTACTGGCAAAGTAGTCCCCTAACCCCCAATAAACGCAAACCCATTTTAATAGTCTTCATAACACCAGGACCTTCTAAATATTCTTCTAAATGAAGGGCAGAGTTTGGAGCTGTCTCCTCAGTGGGGCTTGCCTAACACAGGTAGGGGCTGAAATGCAGAGTCGACGCTCCTGGGTTGGAATTTACAACATCACTAGTATGTCTGCCTGATGAGTCTCCCATAGACCGTGACCTTTCTTGCTTGTCCTTCTCTTCTTCTTGCCCCCCCCACTTTCCATCTACCTCACATGTACCCCAGTGTGGGGTCACTGGTGGGCCCAGAGCACAGGTCAGAACTGTGGGCCCGAAGTTCCTCAGGGATAGGCTGATTAGATGGTACACAGAGGCGGCCATGCTATTCTCTGCAGCCCTGAGATGCCAGGCAACTGGGCTCTGGATGAAAAGGGCAGGCAGTGCCCCTCCCAGAACCTGCCCCTCCTCCCCTGGGCTCCCAGTGTCCAGTGCCAGCTTGAGCTAAGCAGTTATTTCCAGGCTGTCTGTGGGTCCGTCCTCCTCCCCAGGCACTGGCCAGAGGGGCTTAGCTAAGGTGCTACTTAGACCATGTTCTGTTTGCTGGGTTAGTGGATGAGTGATTCCAGGAGGAAGACTAGTGAGCTGTGAGGGCCCCCCACACCGTGAAGCCCCAGCACCCCTTCCTCTCCCAGCCCAGGTCAGTGCTCACCTCGTACCCCAGGAGGATGCCATTCATGTCCTGCTGCACGGGTTCCCAGGTCACGTTCATCTCTGAGGACGAGACCCCCTTGGCCCAGACCTTGGTAGGGGCCACCCTGGGCTCTGGGGACCGATACAGAATGGGTTTGGATTCCCAGGGCCACCTGGGACTGCACTGGCTCAGGATTTTAAAGAGCCCAGGGTCCAAGGTGAAGGCCACATGGGGGTTCCCAAAGCATCCCTGGGGCCCACTTCTCTTCCCAGAGAACCTCCCTCCCCCAGGCCTGAGGGGAGACGAGGCAGCAAGGGCTAGAAATGAAGCCAGTGGCTTAGGAGCCAGGGGTCCTCTCCACCCCACCTACAGAACGGAGCAGGGGAGTGAGGGGCCCCCACCCTGCACCCCATGGACAAGCTGCGGGGATGGGGCTGCCCTCGGGCCCCGGGGTGGCCCACCTTCCTCAGCCGAGTACACGAGCGCGGTGAGGCTCTCGGGCCCATTCCCGCGGCCGTTGTAGCTGCGGATCTTGACCTCAAAGGGTGTGTAGGGCCGGACACTGTCGTTGCTGTAGACGAAGTACTGGGCGTCGGCGCCGGGCACCCGGGCGGTCTGCCAGCTAGCGCTGCCCTGCCTGCGGAAGGACAGCAGGTAGCCGAAGCCGTCTCCGTTCTGGTACTCCCGTGACACGGGCTGAGGGGCAAGAGCGCGGCATGGGCGAGGGGCCAAGGCTGCGTCTCCCTGCCCATCCTCTGGCCCCACCCAGCCTTCACCAAGACGGGGAGGCCCCAGGACTGTGTGCAGGTTTCCATCCGGCTGTGGGTGCAAAGGGGCGGGGGAGGGACCTTGTCTGCTGCCCATGCAGTGGCTCTGTCTGGGTCCTCTCTGCACGATGCTCAACTCTGGAGACAAGTCCCACCAGGTGGGGTGGGGGTGGGGGAGGACCTGTCCCCCAGAGAACTGGAGGCACCTCTCTGCCTCCGTCCTTGCAGCTTACCGTCCAGCTGACGATGAGCTCTCCGGGGGCTCCACCACCTCCGCTGAGACCTGACGGTGCCACTGAGGGGGCTGTCAGGGCCAAGGGACACAGACAGAGCTTGTTAATGGGCAGTGAGGGAGCAAAAGCCCTGAGGCTGAGCCTGAAAAGCATCCTAGGACAGGAACACCCTTCCAAAGGGCCCTGGTTTTGTCCTCCAACAGTCCCTTTGGACATGTGCTCTGGAGTCAGGTGGACCTGAGATCAAATTCCACCTTTGCCACTTACTAGCTGTGTTTCTCTGGGCAAGTTACTTAACCTCTCTGAGTCTCTGATGCCCCTCTCCGTAAGATGAGGATAATAATGTTTCTCTCAAAGGGCTGTAAGAAGAATAAAATTAAACAAGACCGTGGCTAGCATTTACATATAGTAGAAGCTCCATAAATGATCATTGTCTTCTTCCTTCTTGTTGGTTTAAACTAAATAACAGAGATCAACCCCAGTTTGCTTTAATTTAAGGGGAATAAATAATCCAGAACTGCAGTTAATCCAAAAAACCCCCCACATTTCTTTGGGGTTGCACGGTGTTTTATCATTATTTTTCTTTTTGTGGCAGATTTAATTTCCTAATTGTCTCTAGTATTTAACAAGGCTGATATTAAAAGAAGAATGTATTTAATCAGATCATGAAGCTTGGCAGGGAGGTAACTTGGCTGAAGGTCAAAATATTTCTGCAGATGATCCAGCAACTGGAGACATAACTTGGTTCTGATGAGTTCAGGGCCTCATAATTTGCAAAGGGCACTGAAACACTTTGTCCATTTGATCCTGTGAGGTGGGTGTTAATATTATCCTTTTCAGAGTAGAACGATTGAGGCCCAGAGCAGTTAAGTGACTTGCCTAAAGTCACACAGCTAATAAATGTCATGGTTTGACTCTGAAGCCAGCTCTTCTGATTTCAAAGCCCACCATCTGTCTTCTGCATCATAGCTGTCTTTATGCTCCACTCCTGGGATACGACACTGAAGGAGACCACCCCTCACCCTTTGTTTGGCTCTTCAAGAGGTTCAGTCAAAGAAAGTACTCCTGTGGGAGGGTATAGCTATAGCTCAGTGGTAGAGCGCATGCTTAGCATGCACTAGGTCCTGGGTTCAATCCCTAGAACCTCCATTAAGAAAGAAAAGAAAAGAAAGAAAAGAAAAGAAAGAAAGAAAAAGAAAGTACTCCTTCTGGAATTCTTTACTCGGGAGAGATACCAGTCAAAAATGTTGAATGATTCCAGAAAGAGCCTGGAGAGTCAGCCTGGGGCACACAGGAAACCATGTTTAAGGGACACAAGAAGGCAGACCCTCCTTACACATCCAGTGGGGCAGGCCTGGGAGGGCAGGGCAGAGGAGGCAGGATCCTCATTCCTCGCTCCTGGTCTCAGGACCCCACAGCTCTCATTCTGCGCCTTCTCCGTTGCCTCTTCCCTTCCTTTCCCACTCAAGTTCTGACACCTACCTGCCTTTCAGGAAAGGCTATGGGCAGATAATCCAGTCTTCCTGCTCCCAAAGAAACCATCTAAAGAAAGACTTGGAGACACTGGCTGCTTACCTAGGGCCCTGCACAACACACACACACACACACACACACACCCCTTCCTCACCACCTGATTCCTGCAGCTCATGCACTTCCGGGGAGGATATCTGCCCATCACCCCATGGTCCTGGGTGCCAGTGTGCCAAGTCCAGGCTCTGCCAGTGTGACCTTACCCTTCTCCAAACTTTGGTTTTACCATTTTTTAAAAAATTAAACTTTTTACTATGAGATCACTGTAGGTTCACATGCAGTTGTAAGGCTGGCCTATGTTTTAAATGAGGAATTTGGACTGGATGGCTCCTCCAGCCCTGACAGGCTGTGGCCCAGGGCACAGCGCGCTGTGCCGTGCAGCGGCCTGGCCCAGCCTTGCGTCACTTTCTCATCTGTTTCACTGGTGTTGGAAGCTGGTGAGCAGGGTGGGAACTCCATGTATTATTGCTCAGCTGGAGCTCCCCTTAAGGAGGCTTGGGGTCTGTGCCTGATGTTACCTGTCACCCATGGCTCTGACCTGCTTCCTTGGTCCGGATTTTGCTGGAGGGGCCACTGGGCTCCCCAGTGCCCAGGATGTTGCTCGCTAAGACCCGGAACTCATAGTCCATCCAGGGGGTGAGGCCCAGTACCTGGGCAGTCTCGGCATTGCCCTCAATGTTGGCAGGATCTGCAAGGCACCAGGGAGTCAGTGTTTGGCATTCATTTATTGGCCTGGATAGAAAGGACAGGGACTGGGTCTGAATTAATATTTTTATACCCAGCCCTCATGGTGGTGCCTGCTGTATACTAAGTGTTCACTACCTTTTTCAGAAATGATTGGAAAATTGGTACACTCCCCAGCCTTGGAGCCTTTGAAGATACTGTGTGCACCCCACACCCCCACAAATGCTTTCACTGCCCCAGTAACAGTCCTGCCAGTGCTTTAAGGGCGCAGACTGAGTGCCTCCCCCTCCAACTCTCCTCCACTCTCCTGCTGGCCGTGCAACCGTCTTCCCCAGTGGCCTGGGAGCTCCCTGCAGGCAGAGGCCACACTTGTTCTTTGAAGCCCCAGGCTCAGCCATGGCCTCCGACCCCTGACCCCCCACCTCCAGCACACAGACAAGCCTAAGCAGTCCTGACCTGGGAGGGGGGCCTCGCACTTACTGGTTCGAACCTGCTTCCACTTCCCTGCAGGTAGCGTGCGGGCTTGCAGGGTGTACTTGGCGATAGGGCTATGGTTGTCAAAGCCGCGGCTCCAGCTAAGCTGGACAGTGGTGTCACTGATGTCTCTCACCACCACGCCTCCTGGGGGGCCTGGCGGACCTGCACCAAGAGGACAGAGCACAGTAGGTCAGAACTGGGCGGCTTCAAATTTGAGCCAACCTCCTTCAGGATGGGCTGGACTGGTGCAGTATCAAGAGGGAGCAGCAGAGGGCGCGGCAAACACACACCAGGTGGGAGGGCAAGGCACGGCGGAAGTGAGTGGGCCCAATGCAGGGAGGGGATTGTGAGGTGGGGGGATGTGTCCAAGGCTGGAGGGGTCTCAGAGCCCCTCATACAGAGAAGTACATAGATTTCCCAGCATGAGGCTTTGAGAACTTATGGCCTCAGCAAATTTCTCCAGTCTTGGGATGTATTTAGGAGTGGGTTTTTACAATTTTGACTTTGGGGGAAGAGTGTTCTATTCCTTTAGGACCTGGGAGCAACCATGGGGTGAGCTCAGCTCAACAGACTTGTCAGAAGCCCTGAGAGCAGACAGCTCTCAGGGAGAGGAGGGAGCAAGGGAGCGAAGGTCAGAATAGCCCAGCCGGCCTCTGAGGGAGCCAGGGTGTGGCTGGGGTTGGGAAACCCCATCACCTCGGACCAGGACTGTGGCCTCCTTGGATGCGCTGTCCACCACCGTCTGGGCCATGCACGTGTACTTCCCGCCGTGGCGCAGCTGGGCGTTCAGGATGGTCAGATCCCCAACTGTCTCCTTCTACAAACGGGAGACAGGAAAGGGGACAGGTTAGGGACAGCAGCCCTGGCCAGCATGGTGAGGCAGGAGGCAGGGCTCAGAGTCCCTCCATGGGCCCCTCTGGGTCTGGCTGCTCCTCTCTGTTCAGTGGGAGGAATCAGCTACTCTCTATTTGGTACCACTGGGAATTAAACAATTTTTTCACCCAAGTTTTTCACCCAAGACAGTCAACAGTGGTTCAAGCTGATGATAAACCTCTGCACTGGGGGGCAGGATAACAAGAACAGTAAGGCAGAGAGTCCTGCTGGGGGCCTGGGATTCCGGGTTTGTCCCTAACCCTCCCCTAGATGCATAGGTTCACGTGGAATCCAGGGAGCTGCCCGTCTAAGGGAGGGTGGTTATGAACCCAGGGAGCTGCCCGTCTAAGGGAGGGTGGTTATGAACCCAGGGAGGAGCCTGCCATGCATGGCATTCCTGGCGGAAGGGGGAAAGGCTTTGGGGGTGGTGATGGTTAAGGACATCTTGGGTCCCCTGTGTCCCCAGAAGGAGGGAGGAGCCCTGGGTTCTCTGGCCTCAGGCCTTACCACATTGGCCCTTCGGTAGTGGCCTCCAGGCTTGTCGAAGTCGATGGGGAAGCCATCCAGGGTCCAGATGAAGGTGAGGTCCATGGTGGGGTCGTGGGAGGCGTGGCACTGCAGGGTCAGGTTATCTCCCAAGTTAATGTCGGCACTCGAGGGGGCTAGGGTGATCTTGGTTGCATCTGCCAAGACAAACAAGACCCCTTAGTAGAGGGGGAGGAAATAGGCCCAGGCAGGGGCAGCAGGGCAGGGTGAGAGGGTTTGTCTTGAGCCCCAGGAAAGAGAACAAGCAGCGTGGCCAGCAGCCCCACAAGTGTGTGGGAGGGAGGCAGAAGCAGATTCTGGATGGTGGCGAGGGGGTGGTTCCAAGTGAAACCAAATCCTGGGGTCGCCTCGAAACCAGACTAGAAGGAACGTGGGAACACAAGAGCCCGCTGGTGAGGAGGGATGGTACCCCACGGTGGCTGAGCCACCAACCTCAACCAAACCACAGCACTTACCTCGCACAGACAGGATGCCTGTGCTGTTGGCTTTGCCCATGAAATTCTCAGCAAAGCAGGTGTATTTGCCTTCATCTGACCGACTGATGTTTCTTATGATCAGGGTGCCATCTGGAGTTACAGTCACTCTGCAGCAAAGACAAAGCAGATCTGGCCAACCCAGGGGCACACTGTAGTCACGGGAAGGGGACTTGCCTCCCAGGAGAAGGAGGGGGGCAGGAATTGCTCGGGTTGGGTGGGGTGGGGCTTGTACCTGCTGCTGTTGACCAAGATCTCGGTGCCTTTGCTCCAGAGCACCACGGCCTTGGGAGCTGCCCGGGGCTGACAGGGGATGGTGATCTCACCCCCTCGGGCTGCGGGGATCAGACGCCTTACAGGATTCAGCCTAAAGTCGGGGGCGAGTGCTAGAAGGAAGGGGGAGCAGCCTAGTCACCCAGGGAATTAAAACAGTACCTGTTGCCCCTGATTGAGACATCACCTGACTACATGCTAAGCACTCATGGCCAATCCATGAGTGGTGACTCCTGGCAGCACCACTTCCAAAATACATCCAGAATCCAGCCCTCTCCCATCACCCTCACTGCCACTGTGCTGGTCCAAGCCACCAATTGAAAATCCCCCTAATTAGTCTTCCTGTTTTTGCACTTTCTTTCTACAGTCACTTCTCCACCTGGCAGCAGGCAGGAATATCTTTTTACAAATGCAAATCAGACACTCAGAAAGAAGTTCAACACCTCCCAAGGGCTCACAGCAGAGCTCCCCCACCCATCCCAACCCTGATCACATCTTGCTCCACTCTCTTTCACTCATTGTGCTCCAATTACTTGGGCCATTTTTTTTTATCCTATGAAGATACCAAGTTTTGTTTCCTGCCTCAGGACCTTTGCACTTACTGTACATGTTACTTGGAAATCCCCCAGACCTCCACATGACCGGCCCCTTCTTAACACTCAGCACACATCCCAAACGTGACTTTCTCAGAGAGGTCTTCCCTGACCATCCCATCTGACTGGCCCACCTTACCCCCACTGCTCTGCTGGATTTTCTTTACACTGTATTTTTTATGGCTGTGTGGCATTATCTTATTTAATTATTTGATTTTGTGTTTATTTGCTTCTCCCCACTGGATTGTAAGACAGTTGAAGGCAGAGACCTTATCTTTCATGTTCACTTCTGAGGAGGTGTTGAAGGAATAGTGGTTGAATGAATGAATGAATGAGTCTTAGTTAAGCCTAACTACAGCTTGATGAAGAAGGTATCATTGTGTCCATTTTACAGATGAGAAAAATAGGTTTTACAAGTGCAAGTCACACAGCTACGGATGCTGGCACCCGCTGACATTACTGGGCACCTGTTACATGACAGGCAGGTCCTCTGTGCTTTAGTTCTACCATCTCCTTTCATCCTCACTGCAACTGTGTGCTGATCACTGCCCACATTTTATTAATCAAGAAACTGAGTCACAAAGAGAGTAGTAACTTGCTAAAGGTCACATAGCCAAAGGGGCTGCGTTAAACCCAAATCTAACTGATTTGGCTGCCAGTGACTTTTGCCCCTCCTTTTTTTTTTGCCATAGTAAACAGTCACTTCATTCATTTCAGACATGGGACAACCAGAGACCCCGTCCTCTAGGGGTTCTCTGTCTAGTGTCTCATCTCCTGCCTTAAATCCGAGTTCTACTCAGAAGCTGTCGGAAGACTAAGAAAAACTGGCAGGTAAGTGTGTGTGTTTAGAGAAGCTGCAACTCAGAACTCCTAAGGCCACCACCTTTGTGTCCCCAGGGCCATCCTCTGCCGCCCTGGGCCCTTTACCTTGCACGGCCAGCTCGGCACTGGCATAGATGGTGCCATGCTTGTTCTCCGCCACACACTGGTACATGCCCGAGTCCTCCAGGCTCAGCTTGGACAACCGCAGGTCCCCGGCCAGCACTTCTATCCGGGACTGTGCAGAAGAGCCCGACCCAGGGCGGGGCAGGGGGATCAGGACCACAGGAGGACCAGGGCGGGGGGCTGACGGAGCGAGTGCAGTGGAGGCTGGGCTGCCGTTCCCTCCAGGATGGGGCTCATATGCCCAGTTCTAGCTCAGGGCAGCCTGGAATCCCAGGACTCAGAGATTCCCCAGGCCTCCCTGCACATCAGCGCACTGAAGCCAGAGGGGTGAGTGATCCACTCAGGACCACATAATATTTTTGTGGCTGAGTTGTGCCTGGACTGAGGTCCCTGGATCCTCAGTCAGGACTCTATCCAGTTGACCAGCCTGAAGCCATGTTACTCTGGGATGGCGAGAAGCACCTAGAACCATCCTATAGCATCCTAATAGGCCCAGAGGATATGCCAGTGGTGTGGGGGGGTGGGGGAAGGAGGTCTAGGAGGGTAAGGGAAGCAGGTGAGCAGAGGATGGTGTGCTGGGTGTGTGGGAGGAAGTCCCACGTCTCCTACCTGGGAGGCCAGAGGCTCCCCGTTCCGCAGCCAGCGCACTGTGGGCCGAGGCTTGCCAGCGGCTGCGCAGCCCCAATGCAGGTTGGAACCTATGTCAGCCTCCATGTCTGAGATCACCTTGAGCCACTCAGGCTGAGCTGTGGGGAGCAAGAGAGAAAGAGGCTGGAGATGAGCTTGGAGGAGCCTCCAGCTAATTAACTCGTCGGGAATAGCGGGGCTGCAGTCCCTGTGCCAGACATCAGAGGGCGCCAACAGCACTCTGGGATGAAGCGTGGGGCGAAGAGGCTCAAGAAAGCTGGCACTTTGTGGCTGTGCCAGTAGCTGTTTTAGCGACTTAAGTCCTTCTAATGCTTTCCATGTGCTTTCTGCAGCCCTTAATGAGCTCTGAGCTGGCCACAGCACTGCCGTCTTCTGTTCCCATGCCCAGCGCCATCCGTGCGCAGGAAGGCTTAAGCAAGGGGCCGCCCAGTCTCCTCCCTGACTTTTGGGTCTGCTTCCTCAAGAACCAGGGAAGGCGGGGCGAGGGTGTCCCGGCTCTGTACCCTGCACGATGATGCGGCCCTGAACGGTGTCACGGCCCTTGGAGTTCTCCGCCTCACACTCGTAGGTGCCTTCGTCCTCGAAGCCCACGCTGGGGATCTGCAGGGTGGGCTCGGCTGTGGCCCACTGCGGGGACAGGGAGCCGTCCACTTTGCGCCACTTGATCCTGGGGACGGGGCTGGCAGGGGACACAAAGCCAGAGGAGGAGGGCTGAGCTTGGCAGACTCCCGTGTACCTGAAGCTCCTTGCACCCAACCCAGGCCTTCCTGAGATGCTGGGCAGGTGGTGACCGGGAGGAGGGCCTGGGAAGAAACAGGGACAGCAGCAAGGAGGCAGGGAGGGGCCTCTCCCGGGCAGGCTCAGAGCACAGGCAGGGAAGGGGCAAGAAGTGGGCTCCCCTGCCCACTCCTCTCCCCAGCAACAATCGTGCCGCCAAAGCTGTGTGTGGTCTGTGCCCTGAAGCCACCTTGCCCTCTCTGTCCCCACCCTGCCCAGTGAGCGGTGGTCGCTACCCACTGTGGGTCTGGTGCTCTGGCCCAAGGGCACCCGGATGACTGAGCGCTGGCCCTGCCTGCCCTCCCCCTGAGGTCACCCAGGCCCCTGAGGGGCTCTGAGAGGCTGGGCCCTGGCCTGCCCCCTCCCTCTTCCACCACTCACTTCCCGAAGGCGAAGCACTCTAGGGTGACCTGCTGCCCCACCAGCGCGTAGGTCTCTGCTGGGAACCGGGCCTTGATGCTGGGTGCAAAGAGCCTGGTGTCTGGGGAGAGAGAGAGGGAGTTTGCGCATCAGATGCACATGACCCAGGCCAAGTGCTCCTCTGCTTACCATCTCAGCACAACTCAGGGCCCACTCTTTCTTGACTCCCTTTCCCCTAGGGGGCCTGGGGCAAGGGTCTAAGGCCGTGCAGCCGGAGGACCCCGGGGGCCCAGGCCCCGACCTTGTGCCCTGTGAGCTGCTCTCCACAACTTCCAAGGGAAAAACCCCTTTCACAACACCCTCAGACCCCTTCAGCGCCCCTGCTCCCCTGACCTTCCGCAGCCAGGTTGAGCTGGGCAAACTTGCTGAAGACGCTCTTGGTGGAGAAGTCCATGTGGCTGGTGGCCAGGCAGGAGTAGTTGCCCAGGTCCGAGGCGTTGGTCCGGGCGATGTACAGGTTCCCTGTGGTCTGGGACACGAAGTGACGCCCGTCCGTCGGGATGAAGTTGGGGAACTCGTTGAGGAGCCAGCGGTAGGACAAGCCTGGGGTGGGGAGTTTGAGGAAATGGGGTGCTGGGCTAATGGAGCAACTCTGGGAGGGACCCCAGTGTGCTGCTGGGAATCCCTAGACCCTGTCCTGTGAGCCCCGTGCTCTGAACTGAGGCTGAGGGGAGACCAAGAGGGGAGACGAGACTTGATTCCTGCTGTCGGGGGTGCTGTCCGCTGGGGAAGCAGCCCCTGCCCTCGGGGACCTTCCAGTCTGAGTGGGGGGAGGGGTGGGAAGGGCGTGGAGTTAGAGGATGACAGACCATAGAGGAAACACAGAATCCTTTAGAGCTGGGGACCCCAGGGGGTCCGTGCTTCCCAGGGTCACTCACCACCTTATTCCATCCCTCTTCTGATGGGCAGCTGGAAGCCCCTCCCGTGCCCTCCGTCTCACTGCGGCCCAGGGGCCGACTCACCTGGGTAGTGGGCAGGCGGGTTACAGGGCAGCATCACCCCCCAACCTTCGTGGGTTTTCACTGGGTCTCGCTCCTCCTTGGAGAATTCCTGCAGAACTGGGGATGGTGGAGACCGGGCCTTCAGGCGCTGTGCTCCAAGCCTGGGGCCCCTCCCCAGCTCAGCCCCCATGGGGAAGTTGTCACCCGTCCTTTCTGGATACTTTTTCCAGCCCCTCTTCCCCACGCTCAAAGTGTCCCAGCAGCCCGGGGGTCTCACAGCCGAAGCGGAGGACAGCCTCCCTGCTGACAACGGTGCCCACTGGGTTGGAAGCCAGGCACTGGTAGACGCCGGCATCCTGGGCCTTGGTAGGGTTCATGATGACCAGGTTGCCCCCGACCAGCTGGTGACGGGAACCTGGCTCCAGCTTCATCTCTGTGCCATTCATCTTCCACCTGCAGTGAGGGCGGAGGAGGCTGACATGAGGAAAAAGTGCCTGGCGGCCCAGGGCCTCCCAGCACCCACTGCAGGGGTCTCACCTGTAGGTGGCTGGAGGGCTGGCCCGGGCGCGGCAGGCCAGTGTCACCTTCTCCTCTGTGGACTCCTCTGGGAATAGCAGGCCTAGGGGCTGGTCTTCAAAGACAGGCCCAAAGGTGGCCGGGGATCCCTGGGCGGAGCTCCAAGCTGAAGATGGGGGACACCACCAGAGGTCTCAGGGCCTATGGGCCAGCTGGAGCCTGGCCTCCAGTGCAGTGCTGCCCAATAGAACTTCCTGCAGTGCTGGAAAGGTTCCATTTTTCACACTGTCCAATACAGTACACTAGCTATTGTGCCCACAAAATGTGGCTAGTACGGCTGAGGAATCAGATTTTTCGCCTTATTTCATTTTAGTTAATTAAAATTTGAATTTCAATAGGTTGAGCAGACCCCGTCTAGTCAAGTTAGTTCAGTCAATCACCCATCCTACACTCAAGTGCTCAGTACCTGCTGTATACCTGGCACTGAGCAAAAGCAAAAATGAATAAGACACACTCTCTCCTCCTCAAGGAACTTGTAGTCCAGGGAGGGAGACAGAAAACTGACAAAAGAAGGAGGGGAGAGCCGTAATAGTTAGTTCAAGTGCAGGAGGCCCTCAGGGTGGAAGTCAGAAAGCCTCGCAGAGGAGCTGATCGGCAGGGTGTGAGATGGGACTTGAATGGTGCATGGAAGTCACCGGCTAGAAAGGTGGGGGAGAGGATGTGGGGCCCTGGAGCCTAGTGCCCCTGTTGGGGAGTGTGTCCCAGGACAACATGCTGTGGCTCTGGGCCTCTTATTAGCTGTCAGAGAACCCTTCTGAGCCTCAGCCTCTTCACCTGCGAAATGGAAAGAAGATGAACTCACCTCCTAGGGTCCGTAGGAGGGTTCAGCCTGGCACAATGTGTGCGCTCAGCCACTGTCTGCTGGCCCCAGGTGAGGGGTGGGCTGAGGGTCAGGGGAAGAAGGAAGGCTCATTGGTGGGTGGGCGGCCTACAGGTGGCTTTGGGGGCATTCTTATAAAATTTCAGTGTGGTGTGGGGCATTTCTTCTTCCAGAAAGAGAGGCGCAGAAAAGAGAACGGCTTGCCCATTGCCACAGGGCAGGTCTGTGGTGCACACAGGTCTAGACCTTGGGCTCCTGAATTTGCTGAGTGAATGGAGATCCCATGTGCAGATGGAGTTCTCATGCCTAGCTCCTTCCTGAGGCCTTGCTCCTCATGCACCGCTGTCTGGCCTCACTGGGGCGGGGGGCCCTGAGGCCCAGAGGGCAGTGCTTCACACCTGCCTGTCCAAAGGGGTGGAGAGCTGGCTCTGTCTGCTGACCGGTGGGGCTGGGCATAGTCAGCCTTTGTGGTGTCAGGCAGGAGCCCGGCCACCCCTAATTGGCTCCTACCCCTCAGTGCAGCTGATTTCAGGCGCTCCTTGGTGGGTTGGGGGGTGGGGTCCCCATTAACCAATTAGTGCCTCCTCTCCCGGGGCATCCAGCTGTCAGCCCTCTCCCAGGGGCAGGGATGGGCCCCATGCCACAGCTGAGGCCCAGCCCTGGACCCCTGGGAGTGAGGGCAGCTGTTAAGCAGCTCTCAGAATGAGGAAGGAGGCAGGACTCCCTGAAATGGCATCCCCCACGCCCCTCCCCACCACCCATCACTCGCCCTCACTGCCGCCCCAGGCCTCGGAGATGGCGGCGGGCGGCATCATCTTGGCTGGAGAGCCCAGCTTAATCCCAAGTTAATGATGGTGGTGGAGGGTAGGGACCCTGCCCCAGATGGGACTGCTGGGAGGGAAGGGGAAGGAGGGGCAGCGGAGGCGGCCAGGCTGCTGGGAACAACCTCGCATAATAGCAGCTTCCAGTAACTCTGTCTGGACGGTGGTGAGGTGGGGGTGGGGGTGGCTGAGTGGGCCCAGGGCAGAGTGATGCTTTAAGATAGGCTTTCTTCTTGAAAAAGCTTTCTCCCTTGCACTCAGCTGTACACACACCCTCACCCCAATAACCACATATGCACACTTTCCACACCTCCCTGTACACACACGCATTCACACACGCATATATCACGCACACTGCTTTAAGCTACTCCAGCAGCCAGATACGCACATTTATAGATGCACCCCACTCCCGAGCACATGCGGCTACAGATGCCCCTGTGCACTTATTTATACATGTCCCTGCATGCATACTAATTAACATAGGTGCTGTTTATTAAGTGCTTCCTCTTTATCAGACACCACACTCCGTATTTCCTCCTCATAACCTCTGGAGAAGATAGGTACTGCCGTTTCTCATCTGGCTAATGTGAAAACGGACACTTAGAAATAACTTGCCCCAAATCACTCAGCAAGAAGGAGCAGATGTAGGCATCCGGACCCTGGCCAGCCTCGCCCCAATAGCCGGGGTCCTGAACCACGGTGCTCGGGGTTCTTGACCTCCGTTTCCCATCAGAACCATCAGAGATGCTGCTCCGTCCCAGAGGTACTGAATCAGAATCTCTAGGAGTGAGACCCAGGAATCTAGACTTTGAAAGGTCCTCCTGGGCATTCTGAAGGGCAGCTGGGGTGGAGAGCCATGGCACTGCGCTGTAAGGCCTTCTGTCTACACTCTTCATCCGCCACAAACGTAGCACACCCTCCATGCAGTAACTCACTCACATCTCCACCCTCTCAAACATCCACAGACACACTCTCACCCTACAGCTCCCTCTGAAGCTACACACACATCCACCTACACATGCACTCACACACACACACACACAGACACACCCACTCCCAGGCAAAGCCTCCCACTGTATGCTGACCTTGTTTGACATCCTCTCTGATTCTCTCCTGATACCCTGTCCTGGCAACTCTGCGGCCCCAAACACAGGCATCAGGACCTTACAGAGGAAGGGGACTGGGGACATGAGAGCGTGGAGGGGAATCCGTGCTGCCTTTCCTTGCACTGGGCTGCAGGAGTCCAAAGCCGCGTCCCTGGGTGGGTGAGCAAAGACAGCCAAGAACTGAGGCCCCTTCCTAGGGGGTGGGAACGGTGATGAGATGTTCCACTCCTGTCTCTGCAGCTCTTGGAGGTGGCAGACCAGGTCTCGTCTCTCTCGGCCTTCCTGCCTCTCTGGGTCTAAGGACCCTGGAGGCTGCCTGTACTGCTTGCCTCTGATGGTGGGGTCCCAGCACTGTTGTCCCTGAGGGTGGGGAGGGGAGAGGAGCCCACGCGCCTCTCCTCCACTCTCGCTGGGGCGGGTGTCTTCTGTTCCATGCAGTCCCATGCAGTCTGGGCTCCCCACCCCACAGCTCATCTGGGCCTGGGGGGCCCTGGCATAGGGAGCACGGCCTGGGGCGGGGGGTGCTGGGAGAGTCTCCCCACTGTCTGGGGCAGCCCTGTTTCCCAGCAGCCTCACTGATTTGGGTACAGGACTGGGAGGCAGTTAAGGCTTAATGAGAATAACTGAAAGTGTGCCAGTGAGTCCTTCCCTGGTGAGACGAAGAGTTGAAAATCTGCTGGCTGCAGCCTGGCGGGGTGTGGGGAGTGGGGTGGCCAGGACTCCAGGACAGCGGAGGGTGGGGATTCTTTCTCTCGTGGAGAAAAGAAAAGTCTATGGATCTGGGCTGGAGGTCAGGACCGAGAGGCCAAGCAGTCGTCCCAGCAGGCCCCTCCGAAGGACAACCCCCCAGCCCTGGGACAGGCTGGGACTCCCGCACCTCCTCCCCGGTGCTCTCCCCGAGCCCAGCCAGCCCGGGCCTCTCCGCCTGCACTGCTGCCTTTTCCGTGTCCTCCTTTTCCTTCTGCCAGCCCTCCTCCTCCCTCCTCCCACCTCGCAGCACCCTTGGCAGGAGAATCTTTGAGTCCCTCTTGCCTTTTTCCTGGGCCACCCCCTGCTCTGCCTCATCCCTTCCCACATCCTGTTCCACACCTGGTCCATCTGCCAGGCCTCAGCGCTGCCCTGAGGAACCCTCCCAGAGTTGTGCGGTCAGGGAACTCCACAGCTGTGCTGTCCAACAGAAGTTTCTGTGATGATGGAAATATTTTATAATCTGTGCTACCCCATATGGTTATAAGCCCTTGAAATGTGGCCAGTGCAACTAAGGAACTAATTTTATGTTATTTTTTAAACCCCAAATAATCCATTTTATTTATTCATTTTTAATGGAGGTACTGGAGATTGAATCTAGGACCTCGTGCATGCTAAACGTGCTCCACCACTGAGCTATTACCCCCTGCCCCCTAATAAGTATTAATATCACTTTAATTTTTTCCCCTTCTTTTTTTGAAATAGAGGTACTAGGGTACAGGACCTTGTGCATGCTAAGCACACATTCAACCATTGAACTATACCCACTCCCAATAAATTTAAATTTAATCTTGCGGTTTTAGGAGTCTGCAAATCCGGGCTGATAGCGTGGAGATATTGTGCCACAGTCTTGCTGTGTGACCCAGAGCAAGCCACTCACCTTCTCTGGATCATGCTTTTTATTTGAAAAAAATCTACACTATGGCAAAGACCCATTTCCTCTCCTCCTAACCTCAAAGGGAAAGTAAGATCCACAAACAGGAAAATTTTACAAGGAAATGGCTTCAACGTGAAATGCTAGACCAGTGCAGAGTCAATTGTTGCCATAGCCCTCACTAACGTAACAGCAATGATAGAATGCCGTAATCAGCCCTGTGAGGCTTTAGAGCCCAGACAAACCTTCTTACCTGGAGTGGAGACAAGGGCCACAGCGACCAGCATTAGCAAGTGTGACTGCCTCCGGGCGGGTGTCCCCATAGTGGGTGTTCCAGGCCGAGGTGGGGAGCAGAGGGGCGGAGAGGAGCCTCAGCCCAGCACAGGGAGAGTCTGGCTGGAGGCTGAGAAGGACCTAGAAAGGCAGAAAGACAGGGGCAGGTCTCTGAGCCGAGGAGCGCCCCTCCCAGCTCCAGGCACATCTGGGCCAGCGATGCTTTTACCTCAGCCCAGGGAGAAGCCGGAATCGCCCTCACCCTCCCCAGGACCCCAGGGGAAGGGGCTTGGCTATTACCAAGGAGCTCTTTCCAGGGCTGAGTGCCTCCTGCTGGCCCCCTGGGAGTCTGGCTCTGCCCGGCACCCCCACCCCACCTCCCCTGCAGCCAGCAGGGTGTTGCTCAGGAAATAGAAGCAGTGAGTAATTGGGAGGCAAGAAGCCGCGGCCTGCTCACCCGGTAACAGCTCTCAGCATAGGGCCGGAAGAGGGCAGGTCCTCTGCCTGGATCTGGGGAACTAGTAACATCTCCTAGCAATTGGGGCCCACTCTCTCCTGCCCCTCCCCGACGGCTGCCTGGGTAGGGGGGTCATAAGCCCCTCTGGAAGCTGCGTCAAGTCTCTGGGGACCAGCCTTGTTTTTTTTAGCAGTGAAGGCGAGTTTCACTGATTCACCACACCCTTTCACCAGGACACCAGGTAAGGCACTTACGTACTGGGCGTGATGGACCCATAACCTTGGCCCACTTAGCAAGGCTCCCCAACCAGACGGCCTAATGGGTCCAGATGGCTTTCTGGGCTAAAAAAGTTAACCCAGTTCCCAAAGGAGCCTCCCTCTTGCTGACATGAGCAGAGACTTGGTTAAATCTTGGAGCTCTGGAGAATCTACTCCCTGGGAGGGCACCGAGAGCAAGTCAGAGCCCCCCTCCATCAGCTTGAGAGATTGGGGCCTCTTCCTGGGTGGGGAGAGGGCAGGGCCAGCCTTCTACCTACTCCTCATCTCCGGGAAGACATACCCAGTTTGGGGCGAGGGGAGTGTGGACTCTTAGGGCCTGCTTTTTGGTTATCAGGGTGAGTGTGGGTCACTGGACTCCTATGGGATCCTGTCGGAGCAGCCACAGGGAGCCAGATAACCCTGCTGCAGATTCTGCTTCTCTGTCTGGCTACCTGCTTTGCAGAATCCTAAGAGCAGAAGGAGGGAGTCTAAGGATGAAAGAGAGAGCCTGGCTGGGGGCACCTCCACTAACCGGCTCCAAGACTCCATTCCATCTCTGTGTCTCGGCATCCCCATCTGTAAAATGGGTGCTAAGATCTCTTTTGAGACTGCGACGCTCCCAGAGAGTGCAGGATGGCCGAGGGCCCGAGAATGCTGTCCCCCCCCGATAGGAGTGGGGAGGTGGGGACAGCAGGGGACTTAAGGCTGCAGAGGACCTAAGAGTCTGCCACTGGGGCCAGTGCAGGGTCTGAAGACCAGTGCGAGCTCAGGATCTCTCTATCTCACTGTGGGTCCTATTCCCTGGGAAAGAAAGGGCTTCCAAGTCCTTTTGAACCTCAACACTGATTGTCACCACAGCTGGCATCTCAAGGAGCTGGTGGGGGAAAGGGTAGGGGGAGCAGTGGCCCAGGGCCTGTCAGGGAGGATGTAGGCTGAGAAGCTGGGTGTTCCAGTGGGAGTCAGGGGAGCGAAATTTAAACAGATGGCAGTCCCTCTCCAGTCCCAACTTCAGCCTCATACCTCCCTGTGTCCTCTCCACCACCACCTGCCCCTCGCTATCCTTACCACTTTCAGTTCCAGACTTAGACCCAGAAATTCAGCACTTCCAGCTCTTCTGACACTCCCCCAGCACCCCCGTCTCAGGACCTTGGCTCACACGACTCCATTCCCAGGTAGTGCCCTTCCTGGGACAGGCACATGCACCCTCAAGGTCCCCTTCACATCTCGCCCCAACCAGGAAGCCCTAAGATGCACCCCCCCACACACAGAATTCAGCTCTGTTCTTGATGGCACCCTGGTGCCCTGCCAGCACAGGCGTGCCCATCAGAAGGTTGTGAGCCCCCCAAGGGGGAGACTGTCTCTTTCATCCTGGTATCACCTTGTGCAGCAAAGTGCCTGGCATAGAATGGGTGTCACTTGTGTGTCACATTTAACTGCTTGAGAACAACTATGATCATATGTCTCCATGTCACACACTCACATACTCACAGTCTTCAGTGCTCCCCAAGGGCAACCCCAGGGCGTGCATGCCCGCGCGTGCACACACACACACACACTCTGTCTTACTCTCGCATCTTCTCATACACTTTTACACACACCCGCACGCACATTCTCTCTCAATCACACACTCCTTCTCTCCTACACACACCTTCACTCATTCCCTCTCGCTAGGCTTGGCAGAGTGCTTAGTCATGGGAGAGTCTAGAAGCAGGGCCCCGGATGGTGCACAAGTGCAGGGAGCTGTTCTTAGGACAGGGAGACCCAGGGGTACTGGGAACCACCACAGGCTTTGGAATGGATGGACAGGAGTTGGTGACGTTAGTTTCATCTCCTAACAACACTGGGAACTTGGACAAGTTATCTCCCCTGACGGAACCTCAGTTTTCTCATCTGTAAAGTGGGGATCACAACACTTTATTTACAGAGCTGTTCTGAGTGTTCGACGAGGTATGGAGTGCCCTGCAGTGGAAGTCTTGGGGCTATTCGGACTTGCCTTAGGGTAGTGGTGGAGATGGGGGCGTGGAAAAAGGGTGGGGCCCCGGACTCCTTCCCCACCTCAACCAGAGCTCCACTTGCTTTATCTGCTGGACTTCCCTCCAAGTTTCCACAGCTCTGAACAGTCTGAAAATGTCCCCTTGGTGCAGGGCTGACTCCTCCCAGAGTCTGGCACAGAGACGGCACTCAGTCATCATTTGCTTCCTGACTTTTGTCTGCCTGCCAGTCCTGGGAGCTCAGCGATGGGGGAAGGGAGTGGGCAAAGCAGAGACAGAGGGGCGGGGACCTGTGGCCGGGGCAGGAGACTCGGGGGCAGGAGTCTGGGGCCGCCCACCAGCAGTGCTGGAGGGAGTGGGGTGGGCGTGCGCATGTATGTGATGTTTGTGTGTATCCTGTCTGTGTGTCTCTGTGTGTGTGCACGTGTCTGTATATGGGTGCATCTGGTCTGTGTGTGTGTGTGTGTCTGTGCCCCTGCCCAGCACAGGGTGTGAGGGCCCAGTTTTGCCTTGTTTCTCCAGGATCCACCAGGAGCCCTGCACCTGGGGCCATTTACCTCCACCCCGAAGCAGTCAGAATTATCCGTTGTCTCTTTTACCATAGGTGATTAGCATACATCGTGGAGAACGTAATCCCACTGCTCATCCTAACTTCAGTTTAATCCAGAATTTTATCAGTCACCTCTGGACTCAAAGGCCCTGGGCCCGCCCACCCAGGACTGAGACCAGCAGCCTCAGAGGAGACATGGTGGGGAAGGGGCTGGGGTCCAGGAGCACTGGGTGTTGTCCTCAGGGGGCAGCCCAATCAGATGTGCACTGAGCCGCACTGTGTGCCAAGGCCTTGTGTGTGAACATCCTCCCCCCCAACACACACACACACAGCACATGGGTTGAAGGTTGGAGCTTATTGTCTCCCTGAAGGCACCCAAGCTTGCCTTGCATCTACTTCCATTGCACTACTTATCACCAAGTGCCAAGCCTTGTGCTGAGCACTGGGGAGAGGGCATTAACTCCCAGCTGAGTGCAGCCAGAGGCTGTGCTCACAAGCCGCATGGGCCAGTCGTCTCCCCATACCATCTGCCCGGTGACACATTCTAGAATGCCCAGGATGGAGGAGGCCCTTTTGTCAGGAGCAAGGCTGGAGTGGAGCTATGCCAGGCCCAGAGCTGGCCCCGTGAACCCTGAGCCAGCCGGGCCTGGCCCCGGCCAGCTGCCCCGGCGCAGGGCTGCAGGCACTGGCTGGCACGGGCGGGCACAGGCTGTCACCACTTGGGGCCAGTCCTGGGAGAACATGGGGGTTCGTAGGCTGGTTGGGGTTCAGGGGCACCAGAAGGAGCTGGCTGAACTGCTGAGCCCAGGAGACAAAGGGCCTGGGGGACAGCTGGGGGTTGGAAGGCTGTGAGCTGAACTCCAGCACACAGGGGGGTTTGCTGGGCTGAGGATCCCGGCACGGAGCCAGCCAGAAAATGAAAGACACGCTCCACCCAAGTGCTTCCACTTGGGATACCCAGCTCCTGGCCTGAACCTGCCTCTCCTTCTCCCTGGACGATGGAGATTTGAGCATTGAAGGATTTGGCAGCTTTCAGATGGATGGTGATGAGAAAAGGAGTTTGGAGCCCAGTTGAGGGCAGAGACTAAATGACTTATTATAAGCTGACAGGAGCCCCTCAGCACCGCCCCCACCCCCCTGCAGCACAGCACACGCTGGACAGGGTGGCCTCTCCTGCTGACAGGCCTGGACTTACTAGTAGAGTAACCCCAGTTATTATGTTCATTACTTAACCTCTCTGAGCCTCAGTCTCCCATCTGCAAAATGGGTATGATAAGGATAGTACCCACCTCCTGGGACTCTTGTGAGATCAACCCTATTCCTCACCCATAGTAAAGTAAGTGCTTGGGAAAGATGAGACCTTATGGCTGAGAGTCCTCTCGGCCCTCGGGCTTGGGCCCGGCACACAGAGACACATACGTGTGTCCCAGACACTGTGTCTGGCACGGTCACATTTGGGCTGCACTCACAGGTGTCTAGGACGCTGAGGGTCTGCCTGAGCAGGTGTCTCTGTCTCTTAGCCTCCACAGATCTGGTGTGCCTGAGTAAGCGCCAGCAGGCATGCCATTCTAGACGAGGGCACAAGGACACACAGAGTCACACCCAGAAACCGTGTGTTCAGGAGAGCACCTGGCCCAGACACACACGTGGGCTCTCCCAAGCAGGTACTCCTCAATCACCCCGACCAGCTGCCCATGGGGTCTGAGATGGCAGGGGGACTCTGCTTACCAAAGGCACTATCACCTAAGACAGGATCACTGTCTTCCAGGAAGGTCTGAACCATCCTAGTGCCACCCTGGGAGGACAGGGGTCTGCAGTGGCCTGGTGGGGCCGTGTGCTGGAGGTGCGGGACGCAGCTGGCAGGAAGAGGCTGTAGCTGGGAAGCCTCAGTGCGGGAGGCTGGTGCCCTGAGTTGGAGGAGGTCCTTTAGGCATATTTGGGTGGAATTGGGACCTTCTCAGTCCTCCGGGGGGGACAGGGACTGGATGGTGACAGGGCAATGTTGCAGCTGGGTCTCTCCCCAGCCACCTCTGCTTTCTCCCTCCCTTCCCGCCCCTTGGTTTTCTCTGCAAGCTCTTTGTATTTGCAGCTGGCTCCCTGAGGCCCTAGCCCTGGCCCTGCTGTGCCCACCCTCTCCACTGTAGAGACACCTCAAAGTGGGGAGCAGACAGAAGAGGAAAGCCTTGCATTCTGGGAAGACCCAGGGGTTGGGGCAAGTAGTACCCAGACTCAGTTTCCCTACTTGCCTGCCTGTAGGGAGTTGGGGGGGGCAGAACGAGCGAGGGCTTTGGAAGGAGGGCTCTGTTTCAGACATCAGGAGTAGGAGCAACTGTTTCAACTTGGTTTGGAAGAACCACATCAGGGAGAAATTAGTGGAATAATTTTGCATGTCCCCCCATCTCTGCTGAGAGGTGATTCCCCCAATTCCTGCATAAAAACTTGGTTCAGAGCCAAGCCTGGTCGAGGTGGGTTTGAACCTACTCCTTTCCTCAGGCTAGTGTATACTCTGGGGCTAATTAACTGCACCTCTTGGGCTGCGCTGCAGGAGGGCCACCCTTCAGCCAGAGCCAGGGTAGGGGAGCCTTTTGGTCTGTGAGGTCGGCAGACATTGAGAGTATGCGGGCTGGGGCTGGAGACACCAGCAGGCTTTGTCCAGATTGGTGCCCTGAGCGTGGGGTGGGACGGATCAGACAGAGATGGCGAGGTGCACTTGGGTCTGCACGTGTCCTGGGGTAGAGTGTGTTCAGTTCGGGGTGAGAACATCATACACCGTTGCTTTTGTTTGAATGCTCTTTGGGTAAACAAGGAAACACGGGCTCATTTTGTAGCAAGAGAAGTCATTAAACCCATGGAAGGATTTCTTTACTCTAGGATGGTTACCATCAGGGCATAGAACCCATGGAAACTCCCATGAATGTTCCAAGTTACCAAAGCCCTGGCGGTGGGTGGGGGTTCATCTGGATTAGGATGGTCCAGAACGGTGAGAGGTGACCAACATGCAAAGAAGACAGACACCTCCACCTGTACCGTTTGTAAGAGGGTAATCTGAGGCTGGAAGAAATTGACAGGGTGATCCAGCCCAACCTCTGCCTCCAGGTAGGTCAATCTCTGAGCTTGGACCAGACTCCAGTTCTCCACCCTCTCACAGAGTCATTGGAAAGAAGGTTGCCTCACCTCCTCATGGTTCATCTTCCTGGTGAGGAAGTGTCTCCTGCAGTCTAACTTCAATCCCACCTGCTTCACTGGCATACCCTTTGCTCTGGTTCTTCCTTCTCTGTGTATCAGCCGTCTCTTGTTCAACCCTCAACCCCGTGGTTAGGCTTAAAGGTGTCTTTGTGGTAAGCTTTCTTGCAAACATTTGTCCTGAGGAAAGGTTGGGGTGGTGGAGGTAGAGCACAATGCATTCTCCAAACCATCCCAAATGTATTTCTTCCCTGACAGCCTTAGAGGCAGAGGGGACACCTTTGAGGCACCCCGTTCTGTGTACTCGCTCCTGAGGAGTACGTCTGGTCAGTCAGTCAGAGACCATGTGTGTGCAAGCATCCCGTGAGCACACTTCCTCAGAGGCCCTGTCTCTGTGTGTCTCTGTTGGAACAACTGCTGGCAGAGAGGATGCTGGAATGGAATTGCACGAAGAGTGAAATCTAGCAGAGGGAACGGTGTTGGGTAGGCGGAGGGGTGCATTCAACCAGGAAGGGAGGGCGAGGGGAGAACTTGGCCGGGTGGGGAGTAGAAAGTGGGCGGGAAATAAGAGCCAGCAGGAGACTCCTCCCCTAGGGCATGTCCTCTGCTCCCCTCTCTGCTCATGGTGAGCCCCGGAAGGACAGATGGACCTTGGGTGACTGATGCCATGGGCTCAGGGGCCCTTCCCTGTCTGCCTCACCTACCATCTCCCTCACCGCCCGTCTCCCTCTTGCTGGCTGGGGCTCCTGAGAGATCCCACCAGGAATTAGGAAGAACTTTTGACCTTAGGGCAGAAGACTTGCTTAAGTGGTCCTGCAGCCTGACTAGAAAGGGTTAACTGGGAGGGTACCCTGGGGAAGGGCTTGGATGCTGCCTCCTCTCAGGGCAGAACTCCCTCCTCCCAAGGCCAGAAGCACCATCTCCCTGCCCCGTCCCCAGCCTCTCCCACAGGTGGCCCATTCTTTGCTGCCCTTGATCTCTGGTGGGGGGCAAGTGTGGTCCCTCTGAGAGCAACTGGGAGGTGGAGACTCAGAGGCTAAGTGGACTGACGGGCTCTCTGGCCGGGAGGTTGGAGGAAGAGACTGAGACTGCTGCCCAGAATGAAATCAGATCACCAAATCTCCTGGGTTATTCGGGCTCTTCCTCTTCCTGCTTCCCTTGAGCAGAAGAAAAAGAATGCTAGCTGGTCTGCGAAGAGAGTTTGGGGGCCTGGGGAGCCAGGCTGAAAGGAAAGGGTGGTAAAAGTCTGACAAATTCCAGGCTGGACGTGGAGCAGGGGAGAGTTAAGGGCAGGTGTCTTGGGGGCTGGAAAATCCATCCTTCTCCAGACAGGGGTCCTGGACATGCACAGCCCACCCTATCCTGGTCTGTCTAGATTCCCAAGCCTCCAAACAACCTGGACTGCCAGCTTTTCCTTCTGGGATGCAGGCTCAGCCCCCAGTGGTCTGCGGATGAGGGGTCCCTGGCTTTGTTCCCGTGTAAGGCCGGGACTCTCCTTCCACAGGCACTTTCTCATCTAACCACTTCCTTGCTTCCCAGACCTGGGAACCCCTCCTGGAGAAGATGATGGGAATTCAGCTCTGATGCTGGCTGGGCTGCTCTCCCCACCTCTGGCTATTATGTAAGCCAAGGTGATGAACGGAAGGATGCCCTCTCTTTCTAGACCCTAAATGGTGCCCCTCCCCACCCCCAGCCCAGCCCATTTCCTCCCTGGAAAGCCAAACTTCTGCAAATCCTTCCCTCCCACCAGTGAGGATGAGGGGGAGGGATCTGAGGAGAAGATAAGATTGGGGAGGGCAGAAGGGATGTGCCTTGCCTCAGTTTCTTCTCCCTAAGTCCCCGCTCCTGGACAGGCCTTTGCCCAAACTTGTGCTCCAGTTTCTCCCCTCTCTCTCACAGTCTCCCCCTCTGTCGAACAGAAGCAAGACTTTGCAAAGAGGTCACCCTGCAGAAGCGGACCCAGGGCAACCTCCAGTCTGGGCAGTCAGGCTCAGTTCCATCCAGGGACTCCTAGGGGTAGGTCAAGGTCTGGGGCCTGGCCTCATGGACGGTCAGGCCCCGGGACGGGCAGGTGGGTGGAGGGGTCACAGGGCAGGCCCTCTAGCTGCTGCCCTCTCTGAAGACAGTTGTTGCTACCAGCCTGTGGCCGGCTGGAATTCTTGGACACACCGCTGGGGTCTAGCTTCCCGGCCAGCCTCGGCCTGCCAGGGCCCTGCAAGATGCCACCCATGTAGACAGGGTGACAGGGCGGAGGGGCTCTCTGGTACTGGCAGCCCCGTGGGGCTGGGGTAAGAAGTCAGACTGGCCCTGCCAGCCGGCTGGGTTCCAGCCCTGCCCCTGCCCTGCCCCTCCCAAGTTGCAAGGGAACTGAGCGCGGAGCCCCTGCCCACAGCAGCGCCCTGGGAAGCCCCCCAGCCAGAGGAGACAAAAGCCGTTGGCACCTACCTGGGGTGGAGGAAGGGTGTTGGCCGGGGCAGGGGGACGCTGCTCCAGGCGGGGACCGGGACCCAGCCCGGCTGCCAGCCCCTGCGCTGTCCTCCTCTCCTCCCTGCTCGCCTCAGCCGCTCGCTGCTGTCCTGGTGCGGCCGCCGCGGTGGTGGCAGTGGCGGTGGCGGTGGCGGGTGAGGGCGCGCGTATGTGTGTGTGTGCGTGTGTGTGTGCGCGTGTGTGTGCGCGCCGGAGCCACTGCAGCATCTCTGCATCAAGATGTGCTCCTCCCTCTCCCAGGCTCCGCTCACTGGCTGGCTCCCGGTCCTCAGCCAACGCTCGAGGGCCCTGGAGACGGCTCCCTTCTGCCCCCCCTCCCACCCCCTTCCTGTCCCCACCCTCCCAGCTTTACCTCATTTGCTGTCATTTAAGGCCCGGGGAGCGAGCCAGGGCGCTCGCGTCTTCCATAATGCATGGGCAGCTCTGCCCCACTCCCTGGGCTGTCTGGCCTGCCAGCCTCCACCTCCCCTGCCCAGCCCAGAGCGGAAAGGGCTAGAGAGGGGTGCGGTGAAGAGGGGAAGGAAAGTGGCCCTCGCTCCTGGAACCCTGGAGAGCCATGGAGGCAAACTCCTCGATTCCCCCAGAAATTCCCTATTAGAGGAAGGGCTGCGAATCAGAAATCGCCAGCTCCACGTGCGGGGCAGGTAGGGGGAGGCTGCCTCCGGTGCCCACCCTGCATGCCCATCTATGTTGTTTCCCTTGCTTATGAAGGTGACATGGCTTTTGGTCAAAACACCCAAATATTAGAGGAAATTTAAAAAATCAATAGTAAAAGTACCTCAACAAATTTGAGTTACATGCCTCCAGGTTTATTATTTTCATGTATATAATTGTATGGGTTATTACTATAATTTTATGCAAATTGATCACACAATACATTGTGATTTGCAAAATATCTTTTTAACTATATAAGAGGTCTTGGATACCTTTTCACATCAATGCATACGGATCCCAGCCCATTTTTAATCAGCCAGCAGTGTGATGTTGCGGAAGGATCACTGGATTGGGAGTCTGAATGTCTGAAAGGCAGTCTGGGCTCTGTTGCTGATTGACTGTGAGTTCTAGGTAAGTGCTCGGTCCTCTCTGAGCCTCACTGGTAACCTGAAGGGGTTAAAGATGGCCAAGGTCCCTGCCAACTCTGAGCTTCTAGGTGCTCACTCAGGTGAGTGACACATCTCTTCTGCTCTGCTCCTGTCCTGTGGCAGGTGTGGGGCCTGGAGCGGGAGGGACCAGCCATCTGTGGTGGCAGTGGGCCCCGTCAGGCTGTCACTGCTGTCTCACCCCCCTCTGGCCCACCAGCTGTCCAGCTCGCACAGGCAGGTCTGGTGAGTGGCCCAGATGCTGAAACAGCTGGCAGGGCCAGGCCAGCCTCAGAGTGTTCAATGGGTGTACCTGTCAAGCCTGGATCGTGGCTCCGTGTCTTGAGTGGACAGGGCACGGGGCGGGGGACAGGGAGGGCCTGGAAAAGGAGATGGAGACGTGGTGTGGAGGAGATTCTGCTGCCCAGCCTCCAAGGCCTGGAGGCCTGCCCAGGTCCCGTTTGCTCTCCCCTCCCGTGCCTCTGCTGCCCCTCCACAGAGCTCTCCCAACTCGGGAGACAGTCTTCACTGTTCCTGATGGAGGTTGTGCGGGTAACGTTTCTTGGATAACTTGGAATGCTCCTGTGCAAATCCCTTCCAGAATGTCCTTCCCTCTCCCGCCTCTGCCCACAGGTTCCCTGTCTGTCTGTCTGTCTTCCTGGGGCTGGCACATTGGCCCCAAGCTCCTGAGGTGTGCTTTGCTCTCTGATGCCACCCAGGTCAGCCCAAGTTCTGAAGAGAGGGCTTCGAGTTCTCTCTGAGCAGAAACAGCTGCCAGGAGAGAGGATGGCTCATCTGACGTCCTGGAACTGACAGGTCAGGGATTGGCTGACTCAGGGGCCAAGGGTCTGGAAATGCGTGCACGGAGGACTGCTTTAGATTGAGACCGCTGTCTTTGTGACTCTGTTTTCAGACAGCTGCTGCCCATGTGGTGGGGCTGGGTCCCTGAGGAGGACCAAGTTCCCTCCCCAGGAGCACAGGTGACCAGGGTCTCTAAAATGCTCTCAGATCCCTCTGCAACCGCCTGCCCCACCCAGGTGGGCTCTGGCTGCCACAATAAGTGACAACCAAAGTGCTAACTCAGCCTAGCCCTCGATTTGGGGGAACATTTCCCACAGTTTCATCTCAGCTGAGCTTGGAACAGATGGATTTTGGGGGTTGCTGGGGCGCTCACTGCTGGCCTCCTAAGGTCTTCTGTTTCTGACAAGAGAGTGGGGTGAGCGTTTGGGGGATCCAGGCTGAGTTTTGCTTGTGGGTCCATTAGTTTGATGATGACAAAATATTTTCTAATATTGTTATTAATTATTGTATAAATTATTAATAATAACTAGAGTGTCTCCAGCATGCCAGGAACTGTACTAAGTACTTTACCTGAATGATTCACCCAAGGGGTATGTTCGTTATTTTTATTATTCTCATTTTACAAATGATGCTCAGAGAGATTAAAGAACTTGCTCAAAGTGAACAAGCGAAGAAGCAGACGCCGCTGGTCTGGCTCCAGCCTCCAGGTTCTCCAGCTCCCCGCCGCCTGCCCTTCTGGGGTGCGTGAAGCAGGGGACAGGATGCTTTACTCCTTTTTGGTGCCTGCTGGATACCAGAATCCCCCGCACAGTTGACTATAAGGGGCTTCACTCCTCTCTGTGGCCAATCAGTGTGTCTCCATGTTGTCCAGAGGGAGACACTTCATCTCCAAGGTGAGTTTCCGCAGACTCCCAGATGGGGCAGAGATGGGCCAGCTGAAGACGATCAGGTGGCTAATAAGATGGGTCACTGATTTGCCTGTAAACATGTGGTGACCCCAGAGCAGGAGCTCCCAGAAGACATCTTGAGGGCCACTCAACCCTTCCTGGATCATCTGCTCCTTCCTCAGGAGGCCCCACCAGTGGGTCTCCACTGGTCAAGGAGGGGCTTCAGGCCAGCACCGGGGGACCAGTGATGGGGGGAACTGAGACCCTCCCTGGGCCCGAGAGCTCTGATGGTGTCGATCTGCTCTCTCATCAGTTCCAGGCTTCACAGAGCCTTCCCTGCCCCTCCCGCCAGCAGCCTCTTCACCTCTGGTTTCAGGCTTCAGACTTTCTTAGAGCTCCCAGGAGTGTTTACATGTTTATGGAGCAGTGTCTCTGCCTAGAACGGTGGGGGTTTCAAGAGCCATAGGATGTGGTCTGTCTTCAATTTGCCTGTGAGCTTTTTGGAAGCAGTCTGATAGTGGTAGCAGGACTGTCCATCTGCAGCTTCGGGGCAGAGTGACAAGGCAGGTCAAGCCAAGCTCTGAAACGGATCAGCTTGTCCCACAGTTCTGCTACGTCCGAGCTGTGTGGCCCTGGGCAAGCCACTTCCCTCCTCAGAGCCCCAGGTTCCCCATCTGGAAAGTGGAGATTAAGACATAAGCCTCGCTGGGTTGGTGGGAGCATTGAATTACGTACGAAGAATCCAGTGTGGTACCAAGCATGCAGTAAGTGCTGAGTAAGTGCCAAGTCTGCGTCAGTCCTTCCCTCTGGGCCCTTTTGGGATTCAGCTTGCCCATCTGTAACAAGGGGGTGCGCCCACGAGGCTGAGCCCTTCTCTGCTTTGAGGGTTGGGATGACTCTGGATTCACACCCAAGAGAGGTGGACTCTGCCTCGGCCCTGTCACTCCTGGCAGGTCACTGAAGGACACTTAATTGCTCTGAGAATCCATTTCCTCACCAGTAAAATGGGAGTAATCCTAGTCCTACTTAGAAGAGCCGTAAGGACATGGGAATTAAACATAATGATTTTTAAAAGCACTTTTTCAATGAACAAGTGCCATGCGAACTACTGGTTGTTGTCCCCTCAACTGTGCAGTCTCTGAAGACAGAGATTATGTCATTCATGTCTCTCTTCCAACCCCCTCCCCACCCCCTTAGCGTAGAGCCTGGTACCCAGCAGAGTCTCAGTAACTGTTTGCTGATGGTGAATGAATGGTGGCCAGTAACTGTGGTGACCGTTCAGATGATGGGAGAGAGGGAGCTGGGAGGTGGGTGAAGGCTGTGGTCAGTGGCGGTGGGGGTGCGGTGTGCCTCTCGAATTGGGCCTGGATGGACGGAGCAGAGGTGGGGAATGCATGGTGTTGGAGACTGGAAAGAACATAATTTGTGTGGGTCCAGGAAGAGCCTGGTTGAACTGAGCAGGGGCTGGAGGGGAAATCTCCCTATTCCATCCTCATTTGCCTTCCTAATTTCACTTGAGGGCCTGGAGGGGTCTGCGGCCCGGAGGGGCCTAATTATTCTCTTAGCCATTTCAACCCAGGGCTCTCGCAGCTTCTTTTCAAGCTTATAATAGACAATGCTAATGTCATTATTAATATTTAATAGTAATGATGCTAATAATGCCCGGCATTTATGTGGTCTCTCCAAAGAGCTCAAAGAACCCTGAGATCTTTTTTTATGAACAATTTGGCTAGAGTGGGAGGGAAGAGGCAGCAGAGAAAGGATTGAGTCATGGGGAAACTAAGCCCGGAAAGGTTGGGCCAAGGTCGCAGAATGGTGGAGGTAGAGCTGGGACTAGGACTGGGTGCTGGGGTTCCCTTCCTGGAGCTCTGCCTGCGAGCTCTCCAGGGCATCTGGGTCTGACTAGGGCATCCTTGGTGGGGGACTCTTCTAGCAAAGCCAAAGTGACTTTGGACTTGAGGAGGTGCTGCAGAGTGGTGGCCTCTGAGCTTTCTTCACAAAGCCTGCCGAGGGTGGCTAATGAGCCACCTGGGAGCATGGGAGCTAGAAGGGACAGATGAGGACATGGGGACTCCTTGGCCAGATTCTGCAGTCCTCCCTGAGCCACAGGCCAGGACCCTGTTATCCAGCACCCCTGGATGGCTGTGTAACTTCCTGGAAGCAGCTCCAATCAACACACATCCGTGCACAGACCCTCTCTCTAATTACTCAGTCTTCCTGCGCTGATTTTGCTACCTTTATATTCCCCGCTACAATTTGTCAGGGCCCCAGACAGACCCCAAATCTATAGCTGCAAAAAAGCTAGCACATCAGAACTTAGAGCTGCTGTGGAGCACCACCCAGGGAACTGCAGGTGGGACCCTTTGAAGGACATGGTGCAGATTAGAGCGGAAGGCAATGGGCTTTGGCGTCAGACAGCTATTGATTCCAATTCCACCCACTCTATTGATTGGCTGGTGACCTTAGGCTTCTCTTAAATCTCGGTTTCCTCATCTGCAAAATGG